AATGTACATGATAATAATCTTCTTTGGCGTGGAGTCGTGTATTGGGATCGAAAGGTTGGTACGGAATCATAACTAAGGAGACGCTCTCCATGAGAGCAGGCGTCGCCGAGGAATCCTCGAATCTCACACGGGGTTGTGACATATTTTCAGGATTTGTTGTCTTCTTTATTTTGGCATGGATTTCAAGAAACACTTTTTGAGATTCAGGAGGTTCCCGTGAGAGAGCCCCACTGCAGTGAGTAAAATGTAGACCTGTTTGACAGGGTCCACAGATGCGACTGATACAGCCTTTTGGAAGGACTTCGACAATGTTGAGCTTGCCCGGAGATCCACTAGGCCCGCGTGGCACCAAATACGCACCTTGTATGGGGACAATCATAAGCGGTACCTGCCGTATCACCCAGTGGTCCGGTTTCGCACACCCAGGCCTGAGCACGAGTTCCCCGTCCTGAATTACGCTAGGAGATTCGAAGGTAAGAACCTTGACTGTGGTCATACAGCTCAGGCATGCTGATGTTATAGAAGCTGCGTCTTACACAATGTTACTGTCGTGGTCGAATCAGAAAATTTGAGAGTGCTGGAGCTTGTAGCACAGGAAGGTGAGTTAAGAAACACATTCAGAATTTTAATTGAGAACTCTGAAAGAAAGGGGCCACTGGTGAGAAGTAGGAGTAAATGAAAAGATAGTATTTGAATTAAATTTGAAGGCGTAGTATATGTGAGTGTGGACTGAATTCATCTGCGCCAGGGTAAGGACAAGTGGCAGGATCTTGTGAACACGGCAAGGAAAGCGTCTGATACCATAGAAGGGGAACAATTTTTGACCGACTGCGAGACTAGTAGCATTACAAAAAGGAATATTGCTTCATTGAGTCACTTACACAAAGTACCAGAGTTATGATGCATTTAGAAATAAACTATAACAAGACATGCGCATATAATTTTGGAAAGCAATCTTTCGCAAGGGGGAATGACACGAGAGGATAATACTAAAATTGATCTAAGGCTAATTGTTTGTGAGATTATTAACTGGGCCGAACTGACTCGGGATAACGTCCATGTCTATTACGAGAGAGTCTGTATTGACTATCCCGGTGCCTGTTTGCCTGATAAGTTTGAAATTACTAGTCACAGAATACCATTAGTGCAGAATTTCAGCTTTCCTTCGATATTAATATTGCAGCAAAGAAAATAAAAACAAGATTATAATACTGGGCATCGGCATATTAGGCTCTAGAATATATTCACAGAATTACATGCAGAAAATTCCATTAGGATTAGATCGGTTTCGAATTCAAGATCTCCCACACATAAGGCCAACGCCTTTCCCTTGAAGAATAGGTGTATTTTTCTTTGCGTAAAACATGTGGGATGTAAACCTGTAGAGACAGAAGCATGAAAGACAATGCTTGACATTGCCATTGGTCTTTGAAGGGACGTATTTCTATTTTTGTTCCAGACCGATTCAAGAAAGGTCTGAGTGCAGGGGAAATCCTGGCTCTGCTCAGTACCGTCATGATTGACCGCGCGTCCCAAGGACGTCTGAAAGGGCTGCGTTTCGGAATAAGCAAGCGATGAAGTGGCTGCTTTCCCACTGTTTTCAAGTGAACGGAAGTGAACCGGTGGCCATGTTTTTAGCCGAAGATGTGATTCCCAAAGATGACATAGTTATTATTGTGGGAATATTTTCGACCTTTCGGTTAGTCATGTTTACCGAAACAATGACATGATTAATTTTGTATTATTCTGAAATTTGTGTGTGTATTGATAGAAAACATCCGAGGTAATTATTCAGTAACCTTGCTCAAAATATTTCGCATCTCCTAATCTGCATATTGAAAATGTATTTAGCAATAACATTCTGCAAATTAAACACAAGTTACTCATTCTCTTCCAAGGTTTTGCCTTTTGAAGGTTATTATTACTAAAAATAGGTGAGTAAACAATGTAAATGTTGATCATATTTATATTAAAACTTCAGGATATGTAAATAAATATTTTATCTCTTTTCTTCAGAGTAATATAGGCCTATAATATTCCATTGAGATCAAAAACCATTGCAAATATACACAATTTAATGCAATTTAATGTTTAAATATAGACATAATATCATCTAAAATTTGCATTTTCATGTTTATATTATTCAGGTTCAAGACACAAATATTCTTTCGTGCTGGTGTTTATTTTGTGTATTGTGTAGTTGTATCTTCCAACACGTTGCATGCTGATGATATTAATCTGTGTAAACATTCTGCAGGCTTTTAATATCTCACTTTAGCAGCTGGCTTATTCAGTGACGTGACTGAATTGGGACGGACGATCGCCGTTCGACATTCATCAGAAACAGTGATATCATGTTTAGGAGGGTTTGGGGGCCCATCTGGTTCCTATCCCATAAGCACTGGGGATCATTCACTAGGGGTGAAGGCAGTCGGACTGGGAATAATGTCACTCCAGATAGTGACGAATAAGTGGAGCTTTCTTCGAAATATTTTATGTCCTTTCTTGGTTTGGTGTTTACCCTTATCACAGTTTCTCTGCTCTCGGAATATCATGGACCTATTACATAGAGATGGGCATGAAAACTCACCTTGTATTTGCATAGCAATTTAGAAATTTATACAGATCAATTTATTTCCTTCTATTTTATTATTTCATAATTAGAAACAAGGGGGAAGACAAATTATGGTATAATTTGTTGTAGAGATTAATATTGTAAAAGAGATATGCACAATTTCACAAATATAGTTTTACATCGTATTTCTTAGAATTAATAGTAATATTCAGATTTACACATGATGACGTGTGCACTAAACTGATATCAGTTTAACAACGAGGTACTGACGTAAGTGCATACACTGATGACATTTGAATATTGAAGCAATCTTAGAGTAAACACCTTTCGGATATCATAAGCTGCCTGTTGGTGTGAAACGTGTATTATAAACTCTTCATTTCACATTCTTCATTAGCGATAATATTATTTTAAAAAGAAACTACACTGCACACTGTACAAAAAGTAACACTGGCCTAGTTTCTTTCTAGAACTGTGTTCAAGTTTGTGATTTATAAGTTTTCTTACCGAGAGGCACATTAGATAAGTAATAGTAGTAGGAATTGTAAACATGAAGTTTCACAACAAAACATCGATATACGAGTAAATTATGAGAATGGTAAATCAGTAACATAAATTCCTAAAATTACTTGAATTTATGTATTTTTAGATGTAGGCCTACCTTACTTGAACCAAAGTTGTCTGATCCCCCCAACAGAGCACGAGTTTATACAAAAGATTATTATAATAATTAATTGGTGTGTCCCCATAATAAACACTATCCTGCTCGGTGCCCCTATGCTGCCAACGCGGTGGGTAAAGATCTCGACATATTTGCTGTCGGGGCCGTTTCCCTCAATCACATTTAGAATGTAAATAAAAAATTTTTGAATAAATTAATATGTTTATACATTGATCCATTTAAAACCTGGATTGTTTTATATTTTATTGCTGTCATGATTATTCCAATCAAAAATACTAATTATATATATTTTTATTTTCTCACTTCTCAATGATGGGGTTATTATATTTATTGAGTTATTGTTATTATTATTATTATTATTATTATTATTATTATTATTAATATTTATGTTTCATTTCTCAGTTCTTAATAACACTTAGATTTATATTAATGAAATTATTATTATTGCTATTATTATAATTTGTTTGTTTGTTTATTTTTCTGCATTATTGTCTTTTCCCCATTGATTGCCTGTAATCTGTCTTCGACTTTATATTATGTTTGTCTATAATGTAATTACTTTTATCTACACTGTGCTCTGTCTGTAATTGGCCTTGCGGCTGTTGACTCGGCACAGAAATAATAAAGAATTGAATTGAATTATTAGTATTATTATTGACTTCTATGTGTGTATGTACATGTATTGTCCTTTCTCGCCACAAGTGGCATAATTATTGGAAATGTGCTTATTATATTTCTCGCCTGTTAAAGTTAACTTCAGTTTTTCTTGGAATTGTTATGAATTTATTGCTATTATATAAAGACTGTCATATTTTGTATTTTGCTCTTTAATTACTTTTGTGTATTTCTATGTACTCGTGTTAAATTTGTAATTGGCCACTGTGCTGTTAAGTTTGCGCGTAAATAAACACGAATTGAATTGAATTAAATTGAATTGAACTGAATGATTGCTGTTGCAATTAGCATACTCACTTCAAAGTTCTGTTTCTGAGTTCGTTCGTCATTCATTTACATGAACACTTACAGGCGCTAAGCTGTAAAATTAAAACACACAAATTTTCTCTATTTCGTTATTGAAGTAGTTAATCGCATAGCTTAAAGGGAATTACTGATAAATGAATATTACCTTCACACATTTTTATATTGCATGACAAAATGCAGCGTATAGATTAAAAAAATTATTGCTAGAAATTTTCGCTAAATTCACAGGAAAATATGGTACTTTTGCTGAATTCAATAGAATTTTAGGTCCAAATATTTATTAAATTATGAAGCTCCCAATTGATGCATATCCTATTCGTACATTTATATGTGTTTAAGTCGTTACGTCTTTTCTCTAGATTACAGACACAGTTCTCTTATGTCTTTTTTTTTTTTTTTAACAAATACAATTATAAAACTGAGACTCGACAAATTAACATCCCCATATTTCCTGATTCAGTATTTGGTTGAAGGACGAAATTAAATATTCCAACAAATTAAATATTTTGAAACCATTAGCTGACATTAAGTATTAATATTTTAATGTGATTTGTTTGATAACAGTTTCTGAGCTAAATGGTATAGCACTTTTAATGCATATTAGAGCCGGTTTAATGCAATCAGAAAGTTCTTGTTCGTCTTTCTTAGGAACCGTGATACTGTATAGTTACGTTCGTGTAGTTCCAAACTGGACCGCATTTCCGCTGAGCGCTAGTTACTCGCATATTGTCGTCTATTGATTAAGTCGGCCGACATATTGGATTGATGCTGGGCGACGCTGGACCGATTCTGTTTATATCATCTCTCGAATATGGCAATACGACAATAATTTATCGATTGGATTACAGAGTAAACTAATTTGTTTCCAGTAATATGGATTGTAGTAACATGAAATTGGCTGCAGTGCAATAAACTAATGTACGTGTAAATTGTAAAGGCGGCATACAAACAGAAACATAAAAATATTTGAAATGCGTCGTACTCTTGTCTTCTTTAGTTTTCTAACCATCACAGCAGGTATGTACAATATGTGTGATATTATGTAATTTGTAGATATCATAATTTACCGGTTGGCATTCTTTAATTATAAGTTTAGCAAATTTTCGGCTCCCTTAACCACAAAAGAACACATTGTTTTCGTAACTTATGTTGGTTATATTGCTTTTTAACCGGAAGTGAAAGGTGGTTTGAACCACAGAGTGGACAAAAAGGCATGGTTACTCGAGAAGCATACGCAAAACTTCTTCCGTTGTTTCTATTTTTCTCGAAATACATTTAGTAGAGGCAAACTATGAATGCAGAACTTAATTGGCATTGGAGAGTTCGAAAGGTGTTATTAGATATCACGATGACAATTAAAAATCTAAGCGTCATCCTGAAACACAGCAGAAGAAATTATGGGAATGATTAACAGTAGTTGTGTTTATGAAGCAACTGCTTCGGCGTAACTGCTGGGCGGGTCATCTGCATAATCTCAAAGGGAGCTAGATGTATTGTAAAATACTTTCAAATCTTCGAAACGTTTCCCAGTGATATCAGGATTGTATACATTTTACTATTTTTTTTTCTTTGCCTGGAAAATACTGACGTTTCTATCGCATGTTTGTTAGCGTGGTTGTTTAACGAGAGCTTCTATGCAAATGTTTTTCTCCCTCTATTCAAGGAGAGGTAGAATTACTGTTTCGATTATCACTAATGTCGAACACAATTTGTTCCTAATAGATTACTTGTTATAACTTATTAATATTCTGGAGATGGGTATTTCTATTCAAGATCCTAACATTTCGTCTTTCGTGCATTTTGTTCAGAACAGAAAAGTCTCACTTTCATAGTACACAATCACTGTCACATTGCTTCGCGTAATGCGACCAGTCAGAGATTCCAGACTTATTCAGATAGAAGAGGGGATCAGATGTCTGTATCTGAGGGAGTTTTGAGACGACATTCTTGAGGCCCAACATGGTCCTTCGATACCGAAATTTTAATTTGTCGGTCACGGTAGCCGAGCTGTCTAAGATATGTACTGTCTTCGTTCGCTCGGAAACCGGGATCGTGGGTTCGAATCCCATACAAATATGGATGTTTGGTGTGTGTATGTATTTATTATGTGTTTTTGTTGTCCTGTGTTTAGGTAGAGGCCTTGCGACGAGCTGATCGCCCGTCCAAGTAGTCCTACCGTCTGTAAAAATGATCATGAAACTGAGAAATCAGCCCTATGCTCCAAAGTGAGAGCGAGAGGAGAGAAAAAAGGGGAAATTTTTGTTTATATCAGGTTCATATATGTCAATAGATTAAAATTACATTTTTATATAATGCGGTGACAATAGTATAAATACGTTGTTTGTTTTGCTTTGATTTCTTCGAGGTTTGTGGAATCAGGATGGATATCAAAATCGCGAATCTGCAAAGGAATTATAATTTTAAGATTTTATTGTTTGATATGAAAATAGGCCGAATACGAGAAAAGATTTTTTTATACTTTTATGTTTATGAAAATCCTACACGAGAACATGTGCATCTATTCCAAAATATCTTCTGAGTATATTGCCCGAAATACATTACGCTGGTGACAAGAACACAGTTCTATCGATTATCCAAAATATGTATTTCAAGATTCCACCATGAAATTTATGCGATGACACTGAAATACTAGTAATAATTAGAAAATATAGCAAAGATGAAATATTTGAGGACAGATCATCAGAAGAAGCCTATATTCATGAAGAAATTAAGAGACAATTGGGGAAATTCATGTTACCATTCATTTCAGAATTTTCTACCATCGTCTGCCTAAAAATCTAAAGACTAAAATATAAATACGAGTAAACTATAAATTTACTTCTCCATCCAGCTAGAAGATAAGGCACTATGAACTCATTCTGATGTTAAAAATGTAACAATTTAATTATAAAGTAAGTATATTAGTCTGGTAGTGAGGGTAGCCGATCTGGACTCTCTCCGGAGATGACCACAATTCAGGGGTGACGTCCCTGACCGAGCAAGCTCAAGCTTCTACAAGCTTCGGTAGGTAGTACCTGGTTAGAGCCCCACCCGGGGTTACGGGAAATAGCAGCGTCGGTTCTCAGTGGTCACGAAGGCGAGAAGTGGGGGCGGACGAGTCACTCCTCTCGGTAGGGGTAGTTGGGTCACGCAACTCGAAGACGGCAGCTCCATTAGCGACCCTGCTGGGCACTGGCAACGTATTCAGGGGAAATTACGATACTCAGGATATTAGAGGAATTTATCCAACAGTTCCTTTATTTTCCGTACGGGCAAAGAATCGATAGAAGAAGAATTCTTGTTGCCTGTTCCTTCCAGTTTAATTTATATGACTTTCAGTCTTCTATAATATTCTCAGTAAAGAGCAGGTCTAGTACTCTTTTTCGTTTCTCCTTTCTCGCGAATTCTTTCTAACAATGTTCTAAGAAACCTCATACGTATGGCTCCCTTCCGTTCTCTTCTGTTACCCTCCGAATTCAAGCTTTACTTCCAGATATAAACTTGCTTGGTCCTTACGTTACGCAGTCGTGCTAGAATCTCCCTCCTCACCCCATTTTTAAATGATCCTTCATTATTCCATTTCGTCACATATAGTATATGTGATCTGAGAATAAAGTTCGAGAACTCTTCGCGTAGGCCACATACCTCACTGCTGAATATCACTGTGGTCGCCTTCAAAGGACTCCCCTTTGGAAGCTATGCACCGATACCAGCGCCAAGTCCACCTTCAAAACAATTTTGAAACTGGATTTTTGGAATGGCCTTCAGAGCTGCCGTCATATTACTCCTGATGTCATCAGTGTCATAAAATTGCATTCTTTTCAAAATTTCCTTTATCTTACGGAACAGAAGAATGTCACTGGGGGCTAGATCCGGTGAATAGGGAAGGTGTTCCAGCACAGTTATTTGTTTACTAGCTAAAGCCTCCCTCACAGACAGTGCCGTGTGAGCAGGTGCATTGTCGTAATGCAAGATCCACGAATTGTTGGCAAAACGTTTGGGTTGTTTCCGTCTAACTATTTCTCGCGGCCTTTTTAGTATTTCAAATAGTAAACCTGGTTGACTCTTTGTTCAGTTGGTACAAAGTCATAATGATCAATCCCTCTAATATAAAAAAATAACAAGTTGGCGAACTTTATTGTCATACCTAATATGTACATTCAGTACTTTTTAGTTATTATAATTTTGTTCATCTGATATTTTACACCAAATTTTGGATATTTATTCTCTAATATGAGCATTAATAAATTTGTCTGCTTTTATATATGGATGTTGAATTTGTACTTTCACCTTAAGACAAAAAACTATATCAATTCCTGAAAGATTTCCGTGAACAAGGAGAGTACCTGGACCGAAGGCGGCGAAAGTAACTGGACAATGGAAAAAAATTACACGATGAGGAACTTTATAAATTGAACTTTTCGCTATGTATTCTTAGGATGATCAAAATAATTTACAATTATATTGATAGAATATGTAGCATGCATGGGGAACTGATATATGCATATAAAATTTTATTTCGGAATTCCGAAGGGAATGGATCCTTCTGGAGACCTAGGCCTGAAGGTGAGAACACCATTAAAATGATCTAAAATAAATTGCATATGAATATCAATTATATTAAACTCGATCAGGATAATTTTTTGTGTGGTTGACTCTTATGAAGGCGGTAATGAACTCTCGGCTTCCACAAATGCAACGAAATTTTCTGACTATGTGAGCGACTCTGTTCCTGAAGAAGGATATGTTCGTGTTTTGTGGGCGCTGTAGGATTGAAGGCTGCGACGTACGAGGCAAACCCTGACGCCAAGCGTCTGTACGACGATCTCCTAAGCAACTACAACAGGCTGATACGACCCGTCAGCAACAACACGGACACTCTGACCGTCTGGTTGGGACTGAAACTCTCGCAGCTAATCGAGGTGGTGAGTGCCGTGAGAAAAAGTATTTGTGTTTCAGAAGTTCAGTAGATCTCCAACACAAGGTGTTCAGTTAAGAAGGAAATTTAGCAACACCATTGACGGGGCCCGAGATTCCTCACAGATTGCTGCAGTAACTGTAACTGTAATGGCGCGTTTATCAGCGCTAATGTCTCATTCTGCTATCGGCAGTTACAGCAGCAATCTGTGAGGAATGCTGGGCCGAGTCAGCGGTGTTGCGAAGTTTCCTCCTTAAGTGAACGCACTGTATAATTTGCTACTTGATATTGCCACATCAAATTCAGAGGGGGGATGAAGGTTAAAGAACCAGAGGTAAAAGTAAATCCTCTCCGAAGTTCAGATCGTGCAAATGAACATTAAGATCTTGGAAGTCTGTTAAAATACAAGTACTACGCAAAGAGTTGCTACCAAGTTTCATTGACAAGTGTCAGCATGTCAGTTGTTTTGGTGGTAATAAGTACAGGCTCAAAACTGTAACTAAGACAGAGAAATAATTTGAAAGAGAACTAAGTCTTCGTTCACAGGGATATTAGTGGAATCACTTAACTTAGGCAGCAAGATTTAATTATCAAAATGATCCTAAAATTGTGTGGTTTTCAAAATTTATAGTGTTATAACATCAAAAAACGTATAGTGTTCCTTTACATAAATAAACTGAGAATATTTATGCCCATCTTTAAAACAATTCGGAGCTGAAGAACTCAAAATGTTGTTTATTTCTTCTGTTTCAGAATTTAAAGAGCCAAGTAATGACGACAAATTTATGGGTCCAGCAGGTGAGTAGATTTATTACGTCAAAGATTTTATTGAGTTATAAAATAACAAATAACAATTCCTAATTCGAACCTCAACCCCCAAGACGGAGGACTTCTCTTTGTCGGATATTTATGACTGAAAACAATCAATGGCGTCTTCCATATCTGAAGGTTCCTTCTCTCTTCACAAAAGGCGGACGCTCCATGCTATGATAAGAGGGAACATTGATGCTTTCCAAAATAATGTCTTAAAAATGCTTTGTATAGAAGATTCCAGACCCATGTATAAGACATATTAAAAGCTAAATGTCAGTTGGTGTATACTTCCATCGCCCGTCACAGTGGCCGCGCGGTCTAAGGCATGAACCATCTTCTTCCATCGAACGTTGGGATCGTGGGTTCGAATCCTACTCAAAGCATTGAAATCTGTGCGCTTATTCTGTGTTTATGTAGGTAGGGGCCTTGCGACGTGCTGTACCCCCGTCCTGAAAGTCCTGCCGACTGTGTAGAGGATCAAGAAACTGAAAGTGGCCAAGTCCAAAGGGCTGTAGAGCCATAGAGAGAAAAAATGCATGTGTGTGTGTGTGTGTGTGTGTGTATCAACTTGAATATTCTAGATGAAAGCTCGTACCAGTACTGTACAAATAATTTCTAAAACACGTAAAGTATGTTTAATAAAGGGTTTTGACAGTTATAATTGCGTATGAAACATCAGAAAAATAAAGTAATTTTTATTGCTATGGCTATATTAGTTAAATTTCATAAAAAGAATTTCAATGAATGTTGCATATCTTTAATCTGTCATAATACAAAACTTCGGAAAATGATGGAAGGAAGAGAGATATAACGCCGTGTAGTCCGTTGAAAGTCAACCGACGTTACGGAAATAGAGGCAAATAGAGAACTCGGCTAACATGATGATCCTTAAAAGGGGCCTTACATTCCAGAAGTTAGTATCTTCAGAATCCCCACTCTAAGAAGTTCAAACCATATACGATTCAATGGCACTATAGTTCGAAGGGCCGCCATATTTCTCTTCTTAATATGCATATAACAGTAGCACGACAGGATTAATTCGAACAGTCTGAATTGAGAAGTAATTTAGGTTAAGTATTTTTGACGAAATTTATTTTTGGTAATACCAAGTTGAAATTTCAGTGGACTGTTACGCTAGTCCGCCATGTTGGATCCGTTGTAACGTCTACTTCACATAACCTGATGAATAATTTTTTTATATATCTCATAAAGAGTCAATCAAATTTTGGTGGAATTCAATATAAGAGATCTATTAATAATATTGGTTGGCCATTTGGTTTTTAGCACTTGGTATCTGACATTAAGGGAGGAAGATAGACTGAGGGTGTTTGGGACAGGCTGTTGAGGAGGATATTTGGACCGAAGAGAGATGAAGTGACAGGAGGTTGGAGAAAACTGCATAATGAGGAGCTTCATAACTTGTACTCTTCACCAAGTATAATTAGAATGATGAGGTCAAGGACCAAGGCGTAGGTGTGTGGACAATATTAAAATGGATCTTAGAGAGATAGGATGGGATGGTATGGATTGGATTGGTCTGGCTCAGGATAGGGACCAGTGGAGGGCTCTTGTGAACACGGTAATGAACCTTCGGGTTCCATAAAATACTGGGAAAATCTGGAGTAGCTGCAGAATTGGAGGCTCCTCAAGAAGGGCTCAGCTCCGTGCGTGAGTAAGTAATTTGGTTTTTAACCATGTTGACATATTAAAAATCCTATTTTCGTAAGGCAATGAACGAGCATCATCATGTGCGTCATAGATTCGGGTGAAATTCGCTATGAGAATTTTTCACATAACGTTAGTTGGCCTTATTGGTTTTTAATCATACTGACACTTTACAACGCCTGCTTACGTACGGCCTTAAGTGGATACTTCCATGCATTCGACAAAATGTTTCGCCGAGTTTTGTTATAATTCGATATAGCGAATTATGGCGCTTTTAAGTATGAATTCTGGTCGTTTTCACTAACTTTTTTTGTTTGTTTGCTAAGGTGCCTTAAACTTAAATAGAGGCATTAGGAATTTTATTTGCAATATTATGGGCTAGGCCTACAGCCTGCTTCCAATCTTCATCAGTTTTCTACAGTAAAACACGGTTCGTATGAGCTCCCCAAATAAACTTCCTTTTTTGTTTTTGAGCGAACACACAATGACGCTCCAGTCTGGAACTTGCAGTCCAGTAGTAGAGTTCTCTTGTTATCAATTCCATCGCCGCAAGTGGTCTTCATTGTTCCGTACGTTCTGGTTACAAACTTGGGTACATTAAGAACTCGCATTCTGGAACATTAATACTATGAAACGTTGTCTTCATGTTTCAGAAATGGATCGATTACAAACTTCGGTGGGACCCGGAGGAGTACGGTGGCGTGGAGATGCTGTACGTCCCTTCGGAGCACATCTGGTTGCCGGATATTGTGCTCTATAACAAGTAGGTTGCAGCACCATCTGACACCTTATGTGGTTCTGAAGTAACCTTCGGAAGAAAGGCCGCGCCATAGTTCAAGCGGTTAGTCGCTGGCTTCTCACCGCGGCGGCCCGGGTTCGATCCCGGGTCTGTTCAAGTGGGATTTGTGGTGGACAAAGTGGCACTGGGGCGGGTTTTCTCCGAGTACTTCGGTTTCCCCTGTCAATCTTCATTCCACCAAATTCTCCATCATCATAATCACCCGGGGCAGGTACAATAGGCCAATCAGTGGCCACTGTGCCGAGTGGACCCAGCTGGACTCCACCCCCGACTAAGGGAATTGACAAGAAACTTCAGAAGAGAAGATGCAATGTTTTGTAACAGATTAGGTAAATGAATGGCTGACTAAATTACTGACTAACAGAATATCTGACTGACGTACCAGCCGACCAAATAGCGCCACTAACATCTATTTCAATGTATGACACAAACTCCGTCCTAAGTGCAACAATTTATTGTAGTTCTTTTGTCTTCTTTTCTTCTACACTACATGTTTCGGCCGTAAATGGCCATCATCAGGTGTATTTCTCTTACGTAGCTGTTACACTGCACGTAGTTTAAAATTTAAAAACACCAGCTTTCTTAATTGTTCATTTCTCCGTTGTTAATAGGTCCCATATATCAGAATTCCATTGCTGATATTTGTCAGATATGTGTAAAATCTTTGTTAATTTACATACGTCAATTTGATTTTTGAATTTTTATATTTTTAAAATCTTCAATTAAATTTATTTTTTTTTATTTTAAAATTTAAAATTCGCAGGGATACCTGCTCCAAGTCTGCAGTGCTGCAGCGACCACTTCTTGCTTTCAGCACCGTTCTGGTATTATTCTGTGCAGGCTCCCTATGTGCGTGCCGCTGCTTATCTTTAATACGTGTATTAATACATGTAGTATTATCTTCTCTGGATTCCTTTGAGTGACGGACTTAAATGAAAATGAAATTCTCAAAGAAGTGGTGAGATTTGAGAAGGCGGTGACAGGATAATATTAAAGTAATCCGTACGAGTTTCAGTGTTAGTGTCATTGAACATGGAAATTCCGCTACTTCTGAGTTAGTCCTTACTAACTGATCACGTGCTGGCATTTGTTCGCAGCGCGGACGGCAACTACGAGGTGACGCTGATGACGAAGGCTACCCTCAAATTCACAGGAGAAGTGTTCTGGAAACCCCCGGCGATCTACAAATCCTCCTGCGAGATTAACGTCGAGTATTTCCCATTTGATGAGCAGAGCTGTATCATGAAGTTCGGTTCGTGGACATACAATGGTTTCCAGGTGAGAAATCTTGACACAGAGAGACACATTTCTCCCGTACAGACACGAATGCCTACAAGGAGACAGGGATCGAGTTGGAAAACTGCATTGGGACAAGGCAACCAATTTTTGTTTTTATAATAAAATGTAGCGGAATAAGGTAAAACGTTATTGATAAAGATAAAGATAATGTAGAATGTAAAAGTACATTTATATTGTCACGTGTTTAGGTGGGTATGCGTGAGAAAGTGACGGGTTCTATTTCGGATGATTGGATTTATTAGCAGCTTGGTTACACACTCTCTCTTAATTACACTTAAATACATGCAATACGGCGTTATCGCTGATTTACATACACTCCAGTTCACTGTTGCGCAAGCACTAGGATTATCAGTCTCTACTAGTCGTCTCCTAGCAACGGATCTCAACACAGAAACTAGCACTCAAAGCACTAGAAGTATTATATCAAATTTAAGTCTTCCAATCACACGGAAAGTCTTCACAGGACGAACTTCCCATGACTGTCACTTAAATATTTAAACACTCTCAGATACTCCCAGATACTACTTGGTCAAAGTCAAAGTCACATTGAGACTGACGGTCAGTCAGTCAGTATGTCTTGGTGTCGAGCCCCATCTGTAGTTCATGACCAGATATTAATTATTACCGTTTGACAGTTACGGTCTTGTTTCTGTGGGACGCCCTCTCTCACGAGAGGACGCGTCTCTCTTTTGTATATGCTGCTGGCTTCGCACCGACCACACAGAAAATAGTCTCTCTATTTTTGGAACGTATTTACCGAGCGATCGAATAGCAACGGTCATACCGCCGACCGCACAGAAAACGCTGTACTCCCAATGTTTTTTTTGCGTGTATTCGGTGGCGTGGTGTTTCGCGCTGTTACCTAGCAACGCCGTGTCCATCCACGTGCACACCTCTATGCAAAAATTTAATGGTATTATAAGGCTGTGAAACTTCATTTACTGATTGACAATATCACAGTACGCTTTTTGTACTTCGATGGTTCGACATGTCTCGCTAGTCATGCGGGCAACATCGGGTATGCTCCCTCAAAATCTAAGGTACTAAAGGTAGTGATCAGCAGAGTTAAAATTCGTAGACTTTGTTTCAATCGAGGGCTAAAATCAAAATTAAAGTAGAGATTAAAATTTAAAATTGAAATAAATTTCTTTTGCTTTCTTGTCGCAGTTCAGATTTTTGTCTAAACAATCAGTAGTGTAGAGACATGCATGGTGACCGTTTACTTCTGTCCAGCTTGACTTTTCTCGTGTTACAATATTTAAATCTTCTTGGAACGATTAGAATCTCTTGAAGTACTGAAATAATTTTGTCCCTTTTCAGTATAATGCATCGCTATTGCCCCGACTACAACCATCTGTTCCTCACATCACCCACGGTTTTGATAGCTCATTTCTTATATCCTGGATATGGCAGCAGGAGATTCCTCCGAAGCGATAGTACCTATTAACCGAACTACAAGCGACAAATTTAATTCAGAGAATCATTTCGAGAGCAATGAAAGTTTATCGAGAAAATTACGGACTTCAGACAATATTTCCAGGAAGGGAAGAAGCATTGCATGCACTTCCAATGTGATAATGTTCACTAAAGATTATTATTTATTATTATTATTATTATTATTATTATTGGAGGGGGTGGAGTTCCCCATGCACCGCGACCAGTGGTCTATTGTACGTCCCCCTATGATATTCTACCAGTCCCTATACCCTACCGGTATTGGTGCGTGCCATCAGTCCCGAATCAGCCATCGAGTTCGGCCCCTACTGGCTCAGCGGTATCTAGATGCTTCCCCCATTTACCAGAGGCGTTAGAGACTCTTGTTGGGCGGGAAATGTCCTTACAAATTTGGCTCAGTGGTCTCCTTTGGAGATATGAGGTTCTTTTACGTGCCGTGAAGCTACGACACGGGACCCACGGCTTAAAGTCCCTCCCGGAGGACTTGTTCCCTGAATTTTTCCGCCCTTAAAACTTCCACGACCTCCGCCGGGTTTGAACGTTACCCCTAGACTACGGAGGCCGTTTTTCACTATGTTTTCACAATTATGTTTTTGGCAGAATCAGTTTTGTTATTTGACGGTCAGGCTTATCACATTGGCTTGAGTTTAATGATTTCATCCTATTTCGCAGGTCGATTTGAAGCACATGGACCAGGTACAAGGAAGTAATCTGGTGAGCGTTGGGATAGACTTGAGTGAGTTCTACTTGTCTGTGGAATGGGACATTTTGGAAGTTCCAGCCAGGAGAAATGAAGAGTACTATCCCTGCTGCAAGGAGCCGTACTCAGGTACTGTAATATTAAAATAGGCCACATTAGCTTTCCTCCAGGCCAATTCCTGTTCATCACTGGGAACCACCATGTTAGTCGGTAACGGTGGGCAAATTTACTGAACAACGGGACCGCAGAAGTGAAGAAACAGCAGACTGATGTTGAGTGATTACGATAGGTGTTTTGATACATGATTTTCCTCTCAACATACGTAACATTAATTTGTTTCTTCTTCTGGAAAACTGATGTTTATTAACATAACAACGGATTTGAGATTTTTCTGAAGGATTCAATATCGTGTGATACTTGGATTTACTGTTAGATCTAATCTGTTTTTGGATTGATTGGCGGCAGTATATCGAATGAGGTGAGAAAATTGTCTTGAGTGACGTGTAAGGGAATGTTTCCTTGGAATTTTGAGGGTTCTGTCATGGAAATCACCTGAAGAAACGAGAAATAGGTCACGACAAAATTTTCCCCATTGAAGCCAATGAAATACAAATTAGATGCTTTGTCGCTCTTTCAAATTTTTCGCATTTAAAACTTATATCGTCTAGTATATACTCCTTCAGAAGGGCTCAGCTCCATGAGCAAGCAAGTAAGTAAGTATATGCTGCATTACCATATTTCGAATTTTCTGGTTTAGAAATTTTAACTCAGATTTATCTTCGAAAGGGGTGTTCCTGGTACAGGATGAGGGCAGACGCTTAAAATGCAAATAGACACAGAAACAGACAGACTCACTTTTCTCTTCTTCTTCAGCTGTCACTGAGTAGGCCCTCTGACATTTCCTTGTTCAGAATTCTGAAAGACTGAATCCTTTAAAGACTGAGCACGATTCTTTGGACAGGCGACTGGCTCATTACAAAGTCTTCAGCGGCACGGGAGATCACAACGCAACACAGAACGAGAGCCTATGTAATCCACCATGGAACCATATGACTCATGATGCTGTCCAGAGGTGGGCAGTAATGAACTTCTGGGTTCAATAAGAGGCAGGGAATTTCTTGGCTTCTTGGGCGACTCATAGCTTTTCATGTACTTTGTACCAGGAAGTTAGCTTCACACACACGGCCGATGCGGTATTCAAACATGCGATCCTAGGGTTCTAGAGGAGCAAGGCAAGTGACAACAACTATCACGACCTCTTCATAGGACGATATGTTGCACAGATCCCCACAGAAAGAGAAAGAGCCGCTGTGCAGTCTCAGAAGTTTCTGCACACCTAATATCAACTTCAGTTTAACACCGCTCTTTTCCAACCCGCCTTTGCTTGTATCGGCGCAGTAGGAATGGTGCTATCCCTGCTACACCTGTTTCTACCTTAGGACAGTGTATGATGGCTACTGCAAGTTGCCCTCACAGATCAAAGTAAGGAAGATCGGTATAGGTAGAGGAAACTAGCTGGGTCGGTTTGCATGAGTCTCAGGGTAGCGATGCCGAAGAAAGCGTTTTTCTGAGAGTTGAGCCAATTGATGTTTATTCACCTGCTAATTCACCACACTGTTAAATTAATGTATTCTTAGCTTTAAGTTACAGCGTTACACTATCGGCAAGCTATGTCCCGGAGCGTGCAAGGGTCACGTCCGTTCAGTTCGGAATATTGTGAAAGTCTCTCCTTTTGTGGAATGGCTTGCACCCCCACGCCGGGAATTCGAAAGATGGTGTTGACATATATATTTTCATCCCATCTTCCGTAGGAAGCTTGAACGAGGCAACCCAATCATACTGGCCCTCATTCACAGGCAATTGTAACAAGCTCTGACCTGTCCTTTTAGGCGCGTCCGGTTCCCTGTACCCGAGCTAAATTTATGACTGATCGTAAATGTCATAACTCCGGACTTCTTGTTTCTGCCAGAATCTACAAATTTCAACATAAACACCGTATTGCACGTCCCAGACGATGAAATACGATATTATAGATCACGATACATTTCCAGTAATACCGAAACATAAGACTTTTGAAATTTAAATTACCGAGAATTAATTAGAAATAAATTTCATGGTCATCTATAATCATCAAAATAAATAAGGGCTCAGAATGATCAGCATCAAGTTCTCTTTCACGTAGTATACTCATATAAATCAGAATATTTGTTCTTTGTTGTAGGTCAGTTCCAGGAATATAAATTTGTGAAAATGTTATTAAGTATATTTGACCCACCCAGCCTCCTATCAAATGGGTACCTAGGGTTCTCTCCCCAAAGGCTCCAAGGGCCTACATTTCCATCTAATGCCGATGCCAAGAATGATGGAGCTATGCCTCCAATCTGCTTACGTCTTCATGGCAGAATGTTTAATTAATAAATCACGACAACAAATTTACCCTTACATTATTAAATACTTGTATATTTGAACCTAACTATAATTTTATTCGTTCGAACAGTATCCTTAGGCCAAGCATAGCCGTTTCTCTTAGACTTCTTCTGCCTCACTGTGTGGTGGTACCTCATAAATGTATACGATTCTACTTACGTCATGTGAGATGCCGTTTAGAAACTGGGAAATAACACTACTTTGTGTGAGATGTTAGGTCCTAATGGTGATATCTATGAAGATTAATTACTGTCTTCTGGCTTTTGATGCCGTGTAGTCTTTAGGGTAGAAGAATATATTTCTACCTGAAATATAATGGCAGCGCGTTCGCCCAAAAATTAGATACATTTTTACAAGACTACAAGGAGTCACATTCCACAAGAAGCATTCTTAACCTTATTTGATACACACGTGTGGAGTGTGAGTCATCAGAATTTAGTTCCAAAATGTGGCGAAATTAATTTCGACCTTCCAAAAATTTGGCATATCTGTGAGCTGAAATGTTGATGGGAAGCCAGGGCGTTAGATATAATCAAAATTCTATTAAGATGAAAGCTCTTTACACACACACAAACACAACACTAGCGCGGATAGATCTGCGCCTGGGAGGACTAAGGGAAATTAACTTCAGAGCCTCTATTGAAAAACGAAATTAAGTGTCCATGTATTCTTTATTGTAGTGGAAACACATTCGCAAGTTGCGCTGACCACGCGACACCCTCTATCCACTAAAGTTCGCACTAACTTCGTCGACAAGCGGCGGTCATTCGGTCGGTATAGTTCGCTTGCAGACTGAAGCCACGGAGTTTGTTTATTTTCGAATTGGTTTACTATGAGCCCGAAAGCCACTTCTCCCTCGCTATGCTTACACGGGCCAGTAGTAGCCATTTGATGACGTTCGTATGGAACATTCTTGTTACAGCATCACCACAACACTAAACACGAGAGACATTGTATCAATAGCACGTGCTTGTTGCTATGCCCATCTGCATCAGTTGTCATCACATGAGATGACAGAAACTTTATGGGTAGCAGTTCAGTTCCACCGTTATCTCTATAAGTTAATTTTGTCAGATCTGTAGAAGGAATTGAGACATAGGCCCGTAATACGTAGATGAATACAATCCAAATAATGGATCTTCTCGGACGGTCAGTCATGTTAAGATAGGGTTACTATGCAACACTTCGGAGACTGTCCCGGCCTTCGTCATCAGTGGTTGGTGCGATCATCCAATCTTCGGAGATTGTATCTGGCTCCATCATCAAGGTTAATATCCTGTTGATAGAAACAGAGACAGTCTCCGAAACGTCTTTACATGGATGATTTTCAGAGTAAACTTAATTGTATACGAAGAAAGTCGTCTTCTGGGTTTAGGCGCCGTGTAATCTTCGTTTTGGCCGACGTTTCGGAGGAACGTATCCCCTCCATCTTCAGAGCAGTTGAATGGCTTGGAATGCAGAGAGCAGTAGCTGTAGTGATATGAAGTGTAGTAGAAAACGACTTTCTTCATAGTCATCGCCGTGAAAACCTCAAAACTTACTTAATTGTATACATTTGCCGTCAAAGCTTCGCATTTCATAAACCTGGAAAACCTTAAATTTCATAGCCCCATTTACACATCGCTCGCTCATCAAATGTCGATTGTTGCAAGTCATTATATCATGCGTGTCAGTTTATGACAATTAGAACTGCAGTACATTTTGTGTATCATCACCAAAACTCAGGACAAAATTATAATATGAAGACAGTCGTTGCATCATTTAAACACGTGACAAGATTTTAGTACGTTACTAACGAAGCAAAATTACTACGTGGATCGTATACGAAAAAATAAAAGTAGATTAAATGTTTGCTGTCATTAAGTTCAGAGTCTTCTGCCTTCCCGTCCCCCATGGAGATTAAAATGCTTTTGACTATACTTCCACATGTTTTCCTGTATGGTTTCGAAATGTATCTCTCACATTGACTGAGGTTATCCGAGAACAGGTTAAGTAGGGGAGGAATATTTGGACCTAGGCCGAGAGAACTAAAAGGAAAACGAAGTAAAGTAAGGGTAAAGCTATCCCTTTAACAGGCCGTTGAGGCCCATAAGGTTGTGAGACGTTGAGGCTTCCAAATTTGGCTCATAGATGGCGGCAAGGTTGTCAGTCGTACTCGCCGGCCGCCCTTTACCCTCAAGAATATTCATGGTACTCATTTGTGTTAGAGGCTGAGTCGACCCCAGGACCATAGTGCGGCTGGATGGATTAGGTAAAAAAAAAAATTTCCAATGACTTTATCGGGACTTGAACCCGCGTCCTTCCGGCTTAAGCGAAGAAGAATGCTTAATGAGGGGCTTCGTGATCTCTCCTGTCCACTGCTTGATGCAATGCAGGACGGGCAGATGGATGAGACGTGTAGTACGACATGAGAGAGTTTAGAAAAATATATCCAGAATATTAGTAGGAAAACTACAAGGGAAGAATCACTAGGGGGGCGTAAGTGTGTATCGGAGGATGATATTAAAATAGACGTTAAACGAACAGGATGTAAAGGCGTGGATGCAGTTCCTTTGGTTTAACATAGGGACCAATGGCGTGCTCTTACGGGCGCTATAAAGAAACTCCGGGTTCCGTAAGACGGTAATTAGTATTTAATTGCCTAAAGGAATGTCGGCTTCTCAAGGAGGACTCCGCACCGTGAAGTTCCTGGAAATAATATAATTTGATATCCATTGTTTTGTGCAAAAATCCGGGATCATAATTAGATCATATTTTTTACAAAACTAGAGGCAAGAACATACTACTTGTCGCATTCTTCTCGCAACAAGGCTTATCATTCTCCAGTACACTAGTTGCATGTTCACCTAGAGCCTATCCGTTAACTACTCTGGGTACAGATGTACCAAAGATAAAAAAAATCATTTTATGAAGCCTAAACCCTTAACTCGCATGTAGTGACTATCGTGGCAGTGCCTATGATGATATCCCAGAAGACTGCTTTCTTCATTAGTAACACAGTTTGTGTATACGTGCCTGCCTCATTTCTAATCTATACGCCGGAAATACAATTGAACTAGACTGTACATATCTGCTATAAAAGAACCCGTAAGGTTTTATTACACAAAACTAGTTAATTATTAGTGGACTCAACTCGAACGGCAGTAACTGATGCGAGGGCAGTCATAACTGAGTAGGCCTAAAATGTTTCGAAGTATGTAATCGCATAGCCTACTTCGCCGCGCTGTTCCGATAGAATGCGCTGGGTGACCTGCACTGTTGATCATTCACGGTCCATGTGTTATGTGAGCGCTAGTAATGGTTATCGAGTTCGGTCTTGTACACTGCATGGAATTCAGTAGTATGCAGTTCAGTTTGTGCTGTATCTAATCCCAAAGGATCTCAGATTACAGAGATAACCCCCATTAAATCTCCCATGGGAATTGGTCGAAACATACGTACGTTCACTGTCAGAGTGATTAACTGGTTTTGCGCTAACCGCGTCTGATTCCAGCGGCTTTCATTGCAAATTAGGGGTGCTTGCCGTCTCATGGGGTGGGAGACACATACACCACATATGATTAAGGTGGTCAGACACCGTCTGGAGCGGAAATGTGGGAGATATCACCGAAAGTGTGCAAAGCGCAATAAGCAGTCCCGGGCAAAACAATTACTGAAGCCTAGTTTACTACTGCGCAGGCTTCCTGTCAGGGAAATCTCGTGTTATAGAAAATTTAGAGCTTTCTTTGAAATTAAGTGTTGCTGTTATTCGAGTTTCGGAGTGATGACGTCATGTAGCACTCGATTGTGTCACCGACGTTTCGGAGATCCTTGCTATCCATATTTTCAAGGCGCTGTAACGACTCCATTCAGTCCAGAACCTTTTGTCTTCCCGTATGTTGTCTAAAAACATAAAAATCAGAGCATAAAAGAATTAAATTTTTTCTGTGGTTCTGTATGGTCGTGAAACTTGGTCTCTGGCATTAGAGAAAGAACACAGACTGAGGGTGTTTGAGAAGAGAATGTTGAGAATATTAGGGCCGAAGAGGGATGAAGTAACAGGAGATTAAAGAAAACTGCATAATGAGGAGCTTCATAACTTGTACTCTTCTCCAAGTATAATTACAATGATCAAGTTAAGGAGGATGAGGTGGGTAGGCAATGTAGCACGAAGAGAGCGAAAAAGAATTCATATAGGTTATGGGTGAAAAAGCTAGAAGGAAAGAGATCATTAGGAAGACCAAGATATATTAATATTAATTTAACAATATTAAAATGAATCTTAGAGAGATAGGATGGAGTGGTATGGATTGGATTGATCTGGTTCAGGATATGGACCAATAGAGGGCTCTTGTGAACACGGTAATGAATCTTGGGGTTCCATAAAATGCTGGTAGGTTCTTGAGTAGCCGCACAATTTTCGTTTTGTTGAGAAGGGCTCAGCTCCGTGAGTGAGTGAAGTGAAGTGACGACTCCATAGTCGCCAATGGTGCTGTATTGTCATCATCCAAAAAGAGGCCTAGCAGTAAATCGTGTGTTGATGGCATTATATTTAGGCAATGGAAAGGTAAAGCTATCCCTGTAATAGGCCGTGAAGGTCCATATGGCTGTGAGACGTCGAGGCTCCCACATTTTATAGACAGTCGGGTCATAGATGGCGGTGAGTTTGTCAGCCTTACGCGCCGGTCACTTTTACACCCCCCCCCCCCCCNTTACCCCGAGGAATATTCCTGGTACTCGTTTCTGTTAGAGGCTGAGTCGACCCCAGAGCCATAGTGAGGCTGGAAGGATTAGGTCAATTGAAAAAAAAACCATTACCTCATTGGGACTCGAACCAGCGACCTTCCGGCTTATAGGATACTGCCTCAACCAACTATGCTACCGCAAGCCCCAGTGTCACAAGGGTAGACCAAATAACTTATCAGCTAACGCCATCAAAACTGTAGTTACCATGGTAATATCAGACCCATTTTACGTCTGTTCTCTACAAGCCCACTACTTCTCTGATTGGTAAAAGTAACCATGTTGTGACGACTGCGGTCTTCTGGGTTTTAAAGCGGTGTGGTTCAAAGAAAGCTCTACATTTCGAAGGAACTTATCGTCATTCTTCATAGTCGAAGAGTAAGCCAGGCAAGAAACTAAAAGATGCAGGCAGGCTGACTTGCCATCTGCTTCTGCTGAAGACATGTTCCTTTGAAACGTCGGTCTTTTTCCGAAGTACATTACGTTATAACCAAGAAGACCATAACCTCCATAGCGACAGCCGTGAGAGCCTCAGATCTAACCGCACTGTGATTCTGACTGCAGATATCACTTTCAACCTGACGATGCGCCGGAAGACACTGTTCTACACGGTGAACCTTATCATCCCCTGCGTGGGCATCACTTTCCTCACGGTGCTGGTGTTCTACCTGCCTTCTGACTCGGGCGAGAAGGTGTCGCTCTGCGTGTCCATCCTCCTCTCTCTGACCGTGTTCTTCTTGCTGCTAGCCGAGATCATCCCGCCCACCTCTCTAGCGGTACCTCTCCTGGGCAAGTACCTGCTCTTCACAATGATTCTCGTCACTCTCTCAATCTCCATCACCGTCTTCGTCCTCAACGTTCACTTCCGGTAAGTTGGAGCCTATACAAACTGAAGAAAAATAAATTATATAAGATTTGAAGTTTTCACAGAGGTGACTGTGAAGAAAGCAGTCTTCTGGAGGCGATACGTTCCTCCGAAACGTCTGTTAACATAATATCTATGCAGTTCCACGTCCCAGAAGACTGCTTTCTTAAAAAATAAATTAGTTTATAGATGGGGTCAGTAAAATTCGGTCATTGTGCTGCAAATGGTACTCAACATAATTGAATTAGTTCTGCATCGATGTTACGAAGGTCTCCTTTCCCTTACATTGTAGTTACAAGGTAGTAATAAAAATACAAAGCTATCCCTGTAACAGTCCATGGGAGCCCATAGGATTGTGAAACGTAGAGGCTACCACAACTTCTAGACAATCGCCTCACAGATGGCCGTAAGTTTGTAATCCGTACGTGCCGCCGCCCTTTAACCACCAAGAAGATTTCTGGTATACGTTTCTATTAGAGGCTCAGTCGAACCTAGGTTCATAGTGCGGCTGGAAGGATTAGGTAAATTCAAATACCCTAAGCCTTGTACACAGAAAATTCTTGTCACCTGACGCTGGGGTTGAATCCTACAAATTAATATTTTCGGAAAGTTTTACAACAAAGAAGAATAAAAAGACGTTTCAGAACAGTGTAGCTAAGATTGTCAGCATTTACATTAAGGACGAAATTTGAAGGTTAATATAATTCATCACAGCAAGGAATATGAGATTGTGAAACAGACCACAAGAATTTGGCTCGAAACAGATTGTGAGAAAAAAATTATTATTTTTGCCTCTTTCACCTCAAATTTTATTAAAATGTTGCCTTATCAAATTGGTCAGTTAACCAGGTCACTAACATTGAATTTCTCCAAAGCTCCGAATTACTCACATTTAGCCTGACCTAATTAACATTGAATATGGCCAATATTAGGAAGAGCTGTTGTCATGGGATACCTTTCGTGCATAATTCTAATTCATTTTATAATTAGTTTCGAATTATGCTCTCTCTGGGCAAGCGGTAGCGCAGATGATTGAGGCACTATGCTACAAGCCGAAAGCTAGCGGGTTCAAGTCCCGATGAGGTCATTGGATTTTTTTCAATTGACCTAATCCTTCCAGCCTGGGGTCGACTCAGCCTCTAAGAGGAATGAGCACCAGGAATATTCTTGGGGGTAAAGGGCGGCCGGCGCGTAAGGCTGACAACCTCACCGCCATCTATGAGCCAATTGCCTAGAAAATGTAGGAACCTCGACGTCTCACAACCCCATGGGCCTCCATGGCCTGTTACAAGGATACTTTTACTTACTTTTCACTTTTTTTTACTGCGAAACGGAAGCTACGCAAACATATTAAAAGCTCGAAGATGACATTGCAGTGCCTCACTTTAACACGCAATGTAACCAAGGACTTACATTTTATTGTCTGAAAGCCGGAAGAAGGTAGGAAGAGGGAACGGATGTACCACACAGGAGAAGAGAAATGTATACAAAATTTTAGCCGAAAACTTTAAGGAAAGATATTACTTGAGGAATGCAGACACGGAAAACATAACGCTATAAAAATGAATCTTAGAGTAGTAAAATATAAAGGTATGGACAGGGTTTGTCCGGCCCAATATGTGGCCCAGTGGCGAGATATTTTGAACACTGTTATGAAATTTCAGCTTCTGTATGACGCGGAATATTTATTGACCAGCTGAGTAACTGTATGCTTCTCGAGAAATACTTTGTCAGTGAAACTGCTTTATAAAATGCATTCTCACTTCGTAATTCTCAGTGAAGTTATTGTCGGCAGTATAAATTTCGTAACTTCTAAATTATTCTACTTAATGTTCCTAGCACAGGCCTTCCCACAAATATGACCACTTCATTACAGTTCTGTCCCCACGAGTCTGTCATACTTAAACCGAGTGAGGTGGAACCTATGTAGAACAACAGGTAACAAGCATATATGAAAATGGCAAAGAAAAACGTAAGCGTTTTTGGGGGCACAGTATTTCTAATTCAGTTGCTGTAAATATGTGCATGTAGCCACACTTGATCACAAATTTCCTTACTGTTGGCCCATTTTAATTTGCTCTGTTCCATCCCCAAATTCTAATTAGAGCTTTTGAAGTTAATTGTTAAATGTTTATTGTTCCAGAATGCATAGTTGTAGCAAATAATGGCGCAAAAATTAGGGCGCAATATGCTGATTTGTTAGTAGTTAATCGATCTTATTTCATACAAGCATAGAGGACAAAATTAACAGATACAGTCACGCTGAGTGTAATTGTGTTTGAACTACATGTACATTCATTATAACTGGAGGTTTCATTTGTTCCATTCAGTCATATATGGATATATTCTCGGATAAAATAAAATATTTCATAGCTGATGTGAAAGCAGTCATAGTGGGATGGGCTGTGTAAGTAGAATATATGGTGTTCATACGTTTTAAAATATGAGTGAAACGTGGAGCGCTGGGAAGAGAGAGCGAGCGAGAGTGAAGTGAGGTCGATTACTCATCACCTAGTTCAATGAAGTCTGTACGTAAATCAGACATTAATTAGCCTGTCACTCAATTATCCACTGAACCAACCAGAGTTTAGAGACTCCGTGTGAAATCTAGGTGGACTTTCCAGCCAGTCAGCAATATCATTCTTAACAGGATAATGGTCGCTTTTGTAAAGACAAAGCTATCCCTGTAACAGACCCATGGAGGCCCATAGAGTTGTGAGACGTCGAGGCTCCCACATTTTCTAAACAATCAGCTTACAGATACCTGTAAGGTTGTCAGCCTTACGTGCCGGCAACCCTTTACCACCCCCAGGAGGATTCCTGGTACTCATTTCTGTTAGAGGCTGAATTGATTCTGGGCCATAGTGAGCGGAAGGGATTAGATAAATGAAAAAAATTCACCACATCGGGACTCGAACCCGCGACCCTCCGGCTGTAGCATAGTGCCTCAAGCAACTACGCTACTGCGTACACTGTACACTGTACACTACTTGTATTGATCAGTCCGTATAGTGGACAGGCTGCGGGCTAGAGGCCAGGAATTCGATTTCTGACAGGACATACATTCCTCCCTTTCTGTCCGTGCTCGGACCGGCTCTGAGTCTCATTCACACTCCAATGTGTAGGGGAGAAGTGGCTAGAGCCTAAGACTGACCACTCGCTTTCAGCTAGCATGAGGATTATTATCTGTACTCTGTGGTATGACTGTATGTCATGGTGCTTAATTAAGTGCAGGTATAAACTGTACGTGTTTACTTTGCGAAATTTGGATTTTTGGTGATTTGGACCGAAGAGAGATGAAGTGACAGGAGGTTGGATAAAACTGCATAATGAGGAGCTTCATAACTTGTACTCTTCTCTAAGTATAATTAGAATGATCAAGTCAAGGAGGATGAAATTGGCAGGGCATGTAGCACGAATGGGGAAGAGGAAGAATGCATATAGGATATTGGTGGGAAAGCCAGAAGGAAAGAGACCATTCTGAAGACCAAGGTGTAGGTGGGTGGACAATATTAAAATGGATCTTAGAGAGATAGGATGGGATGGTATGGATTGGATTTATCTGGCCTAGGATAGGGACCAGTGGAGGGTTCTTGTGAACACGGTAATGAACCTTCGGGTTCCATAAAATGCTGGGAAATTCTTGAGCAGCTGCAGAATTAGCGGCTCCTCCAGAAGGGCTCAGTTCCATGAGTGAATGAGTGAGTGATTGATTTTTTATGGATTTTATTTATCTTTTTACATTCTTTGTTTGCCATTAGGCCTATGGGGCAAAACCAATATACCCGAATATTAAAGGCCATCTACAATTTATTTTTGGTTGATTATTTTACCACGCTGTCTGTACAGCGCCAAATGTTAGGATGGTTGATGAAAGATGATTTGGAGAGGATATGTCACGATTTGATTGAAATATTTTTTTAAAGGGGCTAGAGAAAACGATGAAAAAAATTTAGTCAAGGCAGCTGCTGTTCGGGCTGAACACTGAACACACTCATCACCGGAAAACAAGTTTAGAGCATTTCCGAATTTCCAGTCTTCTCCGTCGCTACAACTGAGAAAATTGCATTGCCAAGATACCAGTTACGATTAAATGTATGTTAAATGTAAGATGAAAGAAGAAAAAAGAAAGAAAGAAAGAAAGAATATGTGTTATTACATTTAAAAGTGATTTGCCAAACATACAGCATAAGCATATCTCAAATTGTCCTTTCTCATCTACTCTTTTTGCTCATGACAGGAACTTTCAAACAGATGTTTGATTACTTTGAACAAGAATTTTTAAGCCAAAAGTAAGCTTAAATAAACCATCCAATGGATAAAAATAAAATAATTAATATTGAAGTTACAAGGGACTTAGTCCCACCACACCAGCAAAAAAAAAAAATTAAATTTCCTCTTGAAACATGACCTTTAAGCAGTAAAAGAAAAGTAGATAAGTAAAGCTGTTCCTGTGCTTGATTAATTAAGCACTACGCCGTGAAGACGTATGGAGGAGTGGATGTATAGATCCATGTTTTCTTGACTGTTGCACTAGTTGCAGGTGAGTGGTCAGCCTCAGGCGCTGACCTCTTTAACCCCTGTCAAAGGGCCCCCAATACCCACTGGATAGGAGGCTGGATAGGCCCTAAAGCCGGTCTGGAAAACGTGGAGAAGAGCAAATTCTTGACCCTACCGGGACTCGAATTCCGACTGCTCTGTCGTCTAGCCCGTAGCGAGTCGCTTTACCGACTGAGATTGCTCGAAAATTATGTACATGCTTAGTATAGTATGTTAAGAGTCAAATTGTTAGAGATATATATTTTTTCCTGGGCACAGAACGCAAACATTAGGTTTTCATGGGAGGAAACAACCATGTGGGACAGTGCGAAGTTCAGAACTGAAACCATAAAATTTTTAATATCTATCTCCAGTGAATATAACACAAGCAAAGGCTTTAAAACTCCAAATTGGGCTCTCTCTCCACCTGTTGAAAGATATGAGTCGAGTAATAATAAAAAGAGGGGCCAAAGTAATCTCCTTTTTTAAATTTAATAATGAATGAGTTTAAACAGGAATATTTAATGCGACACAAGAAAAATATGTTACAAAAAAGAAAGAAGGTGTTACAAGGCAAGACTGAACTCCTTTTCTTGAAAATTAACGAGACTTTTTCAAAGGGAAGAATTAATTCTGGAGAAACCTCTGATTGCGAAATTGCTAATAGTAGGTTGTATCCCCTTAATAGGATTAAAACATACAAGTTTGTTAAGGATGATCAGGTATTTAACTGCATTGGAAACTGCGGTTGAACCTGAAGGCGGCGAAATCAACTGTCTGCTACTGTTTCAGTCCTGCCCTGTCTGTATAGAGCTGTGCTTAAAGTACTGGAGCAATTACAAGCAGAAACAAAGCATTCCTAGAGGTTTCGTTGCTACTTTAGGATTTCAGTGATTCAATTTCAAGAGCTTTATATTGAATTGCATCTTCTTAAACGGGAACAGAGACAAAAGAACTTGAATTTAGCTCCTTAAGAAAGGAAATCAATATTGTTATATTCTGTCCTGTACAAATTTCAATTAAAATTTGTTTCGCGGTAGTGAGGCATAAAATTTTAGGTCACGTGCTTAGAATTGCAGATACGATGAATGCACTGAGGATGTAGGTATGGAAACCTGTTTGGGAACGACTACTTGGATGTTATGTTGAAAATTTATGAATATATGGACTGGCTTACTTTGGCTCGAAATAGGAATCAATGACTGGTTCCTGTGAACATGGTAACGATAAATACCATCTTCTGCAAGATATTACTCTGCTTCCTTCTTCAGGCTTGCTCGGTTTACTCTTACACCCTGAAGGAGTCAGTACAAACCTCCGAAACATTGCTATTTTTCTACCACACTACACGAAACAAATCTCCCGAAGATAGTATTCTTCACAATCACCATATAATGACATCAAATGGTACAAGCCGGAAGGTCGCGGGTTTAAGTCTCTATGAGGTCATTGGATTTTTTCAGTTGACCTAATCCTTCCAGCCGCACTAGGCCCTGGGGTTTAGTTAGTTAGTTATTGGAGAGGGTGGGTTTCCCCATGCACTGAGAACTGTATTGGTCCATTGTGCTTCCCTCTATGATTTCTACCAGTCTCTATATCCTACCGGTACTGGTGCTTACCATCAGTCCCGCCCAGCCAGCGAGACCGGCTCTACTAGCTGAGAGGTATCTATAATGCTTCCCCTATCTACCAGAGGTAATAGAGACTGCTGTTGGGCGGGAAACGTCCGTTAATTTGGCTCAGTGACCTCCTTTGGAGATATGAGGTTCTTTTACGTGCCATAAAGCTACGACACGGGACCCACGGCTTAAAGTCCCTCCCGGAGGACTTGTTCCCTGAATTTTTCCGCCCTTAAAAATTCGACGACCTCCGCCGGGTATTTGAACCCGCGTACTACGAGTCATGAGGTGGGAACGTTACCTCTAGACTACGGAGGCCGCTAGGCCCTGGGGTTTACTCAGCCTCTAACAGAATTAATGAAATAATTTTCCTGGGGAGTAAAGCGCGGCCGGCGCGTACGGCTGACAACCTTACCTCCATCTTTGAGCCTATTGTCTAGATAATGTGGGACCCTCAACGTCTCACAACCCTATGGGCCTTCATGGCCTGTTACAGGGATAGCTTTACTTTACATTGAAGAATAAAAACGCTGAAATGAATGTTAACTCTTAGAACGTTTTCCTGTAAATTATGCTCTCTTTCCGTTACACGAGAGACGGCTGCCCGACAGTTTACTTGAACCAAAGCATACCTCGGTATTTCCGCAGTCGGTGTCAAGAGCAGCAGTGGCCAGCTGAGTTAAGTACGTCGATACCCGACACTTGTGACATAATCCTCTGGTGAGCTTTGAAGTCGAGTGAATAGTCCTTCACTCCCCGTGGAATTCCCAGAAAACCTCTCAGTTAACGCAACAGGAGCAGCGTCGCTGTAATGACACGGTGCTCCGTCTTGCTGAGGAATGTAAGCTTGCTCTGCTTCCAGCTGCTGCAAGGCGAGGTTCAGAAGCATAGCAAGATAAATGTTCCAGTGCTCTGGCTCCCGGCACAGGCGAAGGGCCGTATAACGTTTCTGTAGCAAGAAGAAGCGTAATTTGCAACACGGGCACAAAAGTTTTCAGTTAAGTTCCATTTCGTTGTTTTGTGTTTACAATACGTATCATAAATAAAAGGAAATTTGTCTCCGAAATTCCCCGAATGACTTTGTGGACACTCTATACTGGCGAATTCGACGGCATTCAATTCTAATTAATTCGACAATATATTCGGAGGTATATTCGCCTTCTGCCTTTTGTTTAAAACATTCGTGGAATTAAATTGTTAACTTCTATTATACTTACTTATGGAGCTGAGCCCTTCTTGAGGAGAAGCCAAATCTGCAGCTACTCAACAATTTTCCGGCATTTTATGGAACCCGAAATTTCATTACCGTGTTCACAAGAGCCATCCCCTGGTCCCTATCCTGAGCCAGATCAATCCAATCCATCCCATCCCATCCTGTCTCTCTAATATCAATTTTAAAATTGTCCACCCACCTACACATAGATCTTCCCGGTGGTCTTTTTCCTTCTGGCTTTCCCACCAATATCCTATATACATTCTTCTTCGCCCTCATTCGTGCTACATGCCCTGCCACCTCATCCTCCTTCTATTCTACTAAATGTGAGAACAGTTAGATATTAAATTGTTGCTATTCAAATGACAGTGAATAAGACTTGGTTTCTTTCATATTTCTTTAATTTAAATTATTATCTATATTACAAATAAATAATAAGATGCTATAAGAATGGCCTGTCACAAATTTGGTGCTACGCGGCCCCAGTTTTTTTATTTTTATGACTACACCCCTATGCTGTAGTATCACAAAGAGTCATGTTTCAGTTTATGAGTTACTGTGGTTAACACATGTAATATTCAATTAGAATAGATTTAATTAACAAGGGTTCGCCTTGTCCTCTACCTACAGCAACTGATGCACTGAAATATATGCCTGTTTACGGCACTGGAACAGAGAGGTTCAATCATAAAAATAAAAATACCAGGGCTGTCCAGCACACAGCTCCAGGTTGAAAGAAATGGTGTGAATAATAGCAGGAGGCCGCCTAAGCTGCTAATTAATATTACCTTTACGTTAGGGAGCGTGGAAGTGAACCGTGGGCAGCTCACGTAATGCGCATGCTTAAGAGGCTGATGCTTTCTCCTCCAACAGAGAAGAGCGAAATATAAGCTATAAAAGGTAAAGCTGTCCCTGTAAGAGGCCCATAGGGTTGTGAGTCGTCGAGGCTCCCACATTTTATAGATAATCGGCTCACAGAAGGCAATCAATTTGTCACCTTTACGCGCCGGTCGCCTTTTACCCCCAAGAATATTCCTGGTACTCAGTTTTGGGTGCCATATCTTGTAGCCTGTTGAAAATAAGCTGAAATTTCGGAGGAAGATGTCACCTCTATCTTCAGGTTTAAAGAATAAACCAAGCAAGAAAGCAACAAAATGCAGGCAAAAGAAATGTAAGTTTTGTTCCTTTGGCTTACTCTTAAACCTTGAAGAAGGAACCGACATCGTCCTTCGAAACGTCGGTTAACCTTCAACGGACAGCACAGCATTACACACCTGAAAATAGATCTCTCCATAACCATTGCTGTAAGAGCCTAAAATCCTGCTCTAATACGGCAACTCATAAACATTTTCGTTCTGTTTTCTTGAAAATAATATTCTATTACTGTAGAAAAATAATTCGCTTTCAAGAAGGAAATTACAAATGGTCTAATAGCATGGCTTTAACTGACTTTTACGAACCGCCGTTTGTGTTCTACATCACCATCTTTAGAAGAATTTCCAGGGTGGCGCTCCAGAACAAAGAAAAGCCCACCAGGGCACCGAACAGGACCTCCGTGTCTCGAGAGCACCTCTGTTACGGCGCCACATCCGGAGATCGGGATGATCCCTCAAGATGGCTGTTTGACTCAACGGCAATGTGTATTGCTTGTTGCAGTTCTCCTTCCACTCACAAGATGTCTCCGTGGGTGAAGCGCGTGTTCCTACATCTCATGCCTCGTCTTCTTATGATGCGGCGTCCGCCATATTCGTCCAGAGACAACTTCGAGGATGCACATTTTCCGGATAATGGCTACACCAATGAATTAGAATTCAGGTAATTTAATATAATAGTTTCATAAATTATCGAGATAAGCAAAACATTTAATTCCCCGTTATACTATGCTTTGGTCAGAAATTGAGTGACCATGCATGAACGACGGGGTTTGATTCCTGGCAGTAGCTGAACTTTCTTCTTGGTAACTACGTCAAGATTGGCTCTGGGAACCAACTTTTTTTGTACGAATATAATGGGTACCAGGGCCACAGTCGCCGTGCGGTCTAAGACACGAACCGTCTTCGCCCGCTCGAACACTGGGGTTGTGGGTTCGAATCGCACTCAAGTCATGGATGTCTGTGTGTATGTAGCGGCCTTGGGATGGGCTGGTCCCCCGTCCAAAGAGTCCTACGGACTGTGTCAAAGATTAAGAAACTGAAGAAGCTGCCAAGGTCCAAAAGGTTGTAGAACCATAGAGATAGAAAGTACCAAGGCCTCTTTCCCATGTGGCAAATCTGCTGAAATGTGACACTACCGGTAGTCTCCATCCCGGGTCAAGGTTAAGAGCTGCATCTTCCCTTGCCATGCTTAAGTACAGCAAGAAGTTTGCCTTGGCAACACACCCGTAACTGCGATCCATCTGAATATTGAAGAGTTTCATAATTTGTACTTTTCAGCAAATGTCACTTCTGTGAACAAAGAGAAAATAATAATATTGGCGGGGCACGTAGCACGCATGGGAAAGATGGGAAATGCATAAAGAATTTTACTCGGAAAGCCTGAAAAGCAGAAACTGCTTACAGTGCATGGGAGTAGAAGGAAGGATAATGTCGTTAAGATTTTAGAGTGATTATAGAAGCTGTTTTGATTGGTAATCCGATTTATTGCACACTTGTACAACTCGCTACTATTCTTCAGAAATCACTATAAGACAATATAGGACGTATTCGGTCTTCTCAATCTGCTGTGTCTTCACCAGTCGTTGCCTGGTGACGGATCCCAGTAATGTCCTCTGCTTCTGTGCTCACGTTATTACTGGCTGGAGACTGAGTCATTCCTGGCTTCAGTCTCGAGATTCATGACCAAGAGTTTTATTATCTATTAAACATGTACGTGTTTGGAAATGGGGCCTCCTCTTCGACGAAGGAGGAGTCGGTCTTTCCATGGAAACTCTCACTAACTGTCCTTCTTATACATAAGTATCACAGGCTGTCAGGTTTGCATATCCTTGAGCACTGTCCATGTTTCCTTCTAGCATGTCACTTCGACTTGTCAGGCCATTTTGGGCTTCAATTTTCCTTCCATAAAAATAAATAAGAATATCCAACTCATAATACGAGTATATGTGGATGTAGCAAAGTTAAAGGATTGGAAGCGTGTACACAGTTGGCGTCCGACATTTTCTTTTTGTTTATTTGAGATGTTGCAAATGTATTGGCTTTTATGCCTAGTTATTGCAGTTACTGCCTAATCAGACTACTGCTGTTGCACACCCTAGAATCACAAACTTTGCTATTTCCTTGTGTTTAATGAAATATTCATCAAGATTTGTATTTATATCTTGACAAAATTCGTTTGAGAAATGAGAGCTTTATGAAATTTTGAGTTCCATGTAGACCGAGGTTAGTACCCTGTTCTGGTAGAATTCAAAATAAAATTATCCGAACAACTACGTGTATTTGGCATGGGATTCCAGCACCGAAAATCGAAACAGTTCAGTGGTTTCGAAGACCAACCACATTTTATAATTACGCAATCATCTGTGTACTTTGTTCATCTCTATCTGTCTGTCTGTATTCCTGTTGCTCCCACTTCTTGCACAGGGCATCCGTGAAAAAGCTTCGTTTCACTTCAGTTACGTAATGTAAGACAGTCAGTAGGACTCCCTGGACGAGTAATCAGCTCGTCGCAAGGCCTCTGTAATTTGTCCTTCAGGTATGTATTATTTTCCTTTCGTAATGTATTAGATTTGCCGGTCACGGTAGTCGAGCGGTCTAAGGCATGTACTGTCTTCGCTCGCTTGGAAACCGGGATCGTGGGTTCGAATCCCCCTCAGGGCATTGATGATTAGTTTGTGTGTGTGCGTTTTTCTGTGTTTGTGTACAGGTAGAGGCCTTGCGACGAGCTGATCACCCGCCCAAGGAGTCCTACCAAATGTGTAGGATCTAGAAAAACCGAAGTGAACGGAGAAGTTCATGGAGGTAGGCCTAGGCCCACTGGGGCTGTAGTGCCAAGGAAAAAAATGTATTAGATTTATTTCTGTAGGTTACAGGAAAGAGTTTTTACAGCTCCTTCTGTCAATTAGATTACGTACATAATTGTAACTCTTTCCCCTTCTTCGCAGAAATATGGATACGAGCGGAGAATAATTGAATTGCACCCAAATATACGTTACTGATTATGGCACAGTGATATCACGAACACGCCAGGTAGACTGACGCTTCCCCGACGGATCAAAATGATTAGGTGCTTTATGCATTACCAGAGGTCCCACTCCACTGCATCATGTCCTATTAAAGAACTGGTCGTTACCAGCAGCCAGTGCTTTCAGTTGCATGTAACACGATACAAATTGCCCGTTCAGTGCGGACTACCATTATGTATGACATTCATAATTAGCTTTATAATTGCGCGGAAGTAGTGCAGGAAGTTAAAAGGAAGCAGGGGATGCAAATAAATGTTTACGTTTAACTGATATATACAAGTATACAGCTGGTAGTGCGCCATAGCTTTTTCATTTTAGGCTGGGGTCACACGAGCGCACGAAATACGTCTGTTGCAACGAACGTACTTTATGACGGACGTTGCTGAGGACTTCACACAGTTGCAGAATGCGGTGCATAGTTTCTTGTCTGCAATGGAGCCAGAAGACAGCGTAGCATTCGCCTCTCCTGTTTATATTTACAACGGACGTATTTTGTGCGCTCCTGGGGCCCCAGCCTTAAACTGACATGTCCTCGGATTGGTGAGTAGATGGGATAAGTTCTTAAAATTCCGTGTGAGGAGTTGTTATGAATATATTCATCTTATTTTTACGTTGGTACACGTGGAACAAACAGCCGATCACAGTACCCGCGCGGTGTACTCGTAAGTCATGAACTGCCTTCGCTCGCTCGGACGCTGGGATCGTGGGTTCGAATCCTATTCGAGGCATGGATGTTTGTGTGCGTTTATTCTGTTTATGTTGTCCTGTGTGTAGGTAGAGGCCTTACGACAGATTGGTCACTCGTCCAAAGAGTCCTACCGTCTGTGTAATAAGATTACGAAACTGAAGAAGGGGCCAGGGCCCAACAAATGTCTATAGAGCCATCGATGAATGAATGACTGAACACTTGGCCTAAATAGGGGAAGGGTGTTGGTACTTAATGTGTTATTGGGCTCTGAAGAGAGCGACAGAATTACAAACCTTGCAACTTAAACACTGGATTGTGCAGCAAATGTTTGATACTGGCGATGTGCGACGTGGCTGCCTAATTCAGGAACTTAGCGCCAGATAATCTTCCGGATTGGTTTTATTTTGTGGTTATGGTAAGCGTTTCGTTCGTTCAGTGTTACGATGGTAAACAGCTGAAGAGAGGAGTAATTTGTTCAGACATGTTAGAAAAAACAGTGCCTCATGATGATAACTGAGTCTTTGAATTCTATCCAGACACAATACGTCAGAGTGGTTGAAGTTTCGGGTTCCGAAAAAGCAGGAGCTTCTTGACTAGCCTTAGGAAATTCATGTAGCTCTACTGTAAGGTTGAAAGTCCCTAGACAGTACTATTTAGTAGCTAATTTGTCATGAGTGTGTCATGATAGGCCACTTCTGGCCTATTGTACCAGCCCCAGATGATAGATGAGGGTGATTGTGGAGCAATTGGTGGAATGAAGATTTTCAGGGGAAACCGAAGTATTCGGAAAAAAAACCTGCCCCAGCGCCACTTTGTCCACCACAAATCCCACTTGACCAGACCCGAGATCGAATCCGGGCCGCCGCAGTGAAAATTGTCATGACCTTAGCTAGACCCGTGTGGAGGCGGGGTCAAATACCTCCACCATGACCCTGCTAGTCGTAGGAGGCAACGAAAAGGGAAGTCTCAAATCTGAGACAGTAAAATAGGTCGCGCGTCCCAAGGAACTCAAACCCGAGAAAGACTGCCCTGGCAAGGACCAGCAGCATATACAAAAGACAGACCCGTCCGCTTGTCAGAGAGGGCGCCCCACAGAAACAAGACCGTAACTGTCGAACAGTAATAAATATCTGGTCATGAGCTCCAGATGAGGCTCGGAACCAAGACTTACTGACTGACTGACTGACCGACCGTCAGTCGCAATGTGACTTTGACTTCACCTTAGCCACTGTAAATCATCTAGAATGGGAACGGAGCTAATATGATTCCTTAATATCTCTGCGTCATATCGAAAGATGAAGAGAGAATATTTGTCCCTGTTTTTAATTTAGAACAAAGCCAACAAAGTGTACTCACGAGTGGAGAATTCTTAACTAGGCGTTATATTAGTGAAGTATTTAACTCAATTTCCTGTCCGCTTTACTACCGGAGGAATAATTCCCTACATCTAATAGACAGAAGCCGGCCACGGTAGCCGAGCGGTCTAAGGCATGCATTGTTTTCGCTCTCTTGGAAGCCGGGATCGTGGGTTCGAATCCCACTCAAGGGATGGAGGTTGGTGTGCGTTTTTCTGTGTTTGTGTATAGGTAGAGACCTTGCGACGAGCTGATCACCCGCCCAAGGACTCCTACCGTATATCTAAGATCTAGTAAAACCGAAGTGAAACGGAGAGTTTCATGGAGGTAGGCCTAGGCTCAAATGAGGGCTGTAGCGCCAATGAAAAAAAAACAGGTAGAAGTCTGGATGGGCCCCTAGAAGTGAACTTGACAGAGAAAAGACTATAGCCAATCACTGTATTTATTGAGGCATTCCAGATCTTAGATTTTTCTGAATGGAACCGAATGGAACTGCAAGAAATATTACGTTTATCCTAAGATCAAAGAGTAAGAAATAAACCTGTTATGTTACAAAGTCGATCCTAGGCTGTGGCAAGTTGATTGATGAGTGTATGTGTCAGGTTGAACATGCACAAAGAATAGATGATAATAAGATTTTGGGTCTTGGTAATAAATTATATTAGGTGCATTTTATAATTGTACTAATCATAGGTAATCACAAAACTGAAGCAATAAATTCAATTTAAATAATTCTATAATTAATGCGCAAGGTTTTCTTATTGCAATCAGAATTTATTTCTGCTGTTGATACTCCCAAATTCATAGCACTGAAACTGAAGTTACCCTGAGTGAAGTTCTGGGTAATTTATATTCTGCAGAACAAAGTTTTTGTCTAAATTATGATGCAAAATCTCCTTTTGTTTCTTAATCAATTCTCGAAGAGACACTTTTATGGAACACTCTGAAATAGGGCAGACAAGCTTCTCGTGAGATAATGGGACGAAAAAGTTTCTTATAGACCAGAAATGCTATGGACAAAACAAAGAAAATCCCAGAAGAGTGTAAAACACAATATATTTCGCGAAGTTGTCTGTAAAATTAACAGACACTAATCCTCCAAATGCTGACAAAGGGGGCTGATGTTCTCTAGCAAGATGACGTAACAAGTTTTGTTTCTTCTCCGCCACTTCGTCTCGCAGCTCCGAAATGAGTGAACATCAGCACAAGGGGAAGCTTTTGCGTCATGGCAGTGAAAGTAGCGGAATTAGGAGCAAGGGCTTAGAGCCTTCGCCAAGAATTCTTTTTATGATTCAGTAGTTTTCCCCAAACAAGTTTGCCAGAAAACTTCGAAGCTCTATGATCAGAGCCTTTAACACGACATAGAAAAAATTAAATTGAGGGGGGTTTGGTCCCAAGTAAGGCCATGGTTTTCATTCTTATCATATAAAGAGTAGATAATTAATTACAAACGAACATTCTAAGCAAAATTGTTTCAATTAATTAAAATAAAATAAGCACTCATCATCATTATAAACATGCTTCATATATGTACATGTTTTTTGTTTCAATGAGTCTTCCAGTCCATGCAAATGTACACTAACTGGCAAAAATGAAGAGACGAAACGGACTGGAGGTAGTAGAAGTCATCAGACATTACTCAAAATGAAGGAAAGCGTGAAGAAACAGCAGAATAATGCATAGTAAGGGGACAAATTTTCTTAAGAATTTAATTTAAAGTCTAAATTAAACTTATAAAGTCATCAGACTTTACACAAAATGAAGGAAAATGTAAGAAACCAGCAGAATGGCCAGAGCGTTGCTAGGCAACTTCTTGGTACACAAATCGCAACAATAGAGAGACTGTTTTCTATGGGCTCCACGTCGCGACCGTTGCTATGTAATGGTTCGGTAAACACATTCCATTAGTGGAAGCTGTGTTTTCCATGAGGCCCATGAAAAAGTGTTTTCTTTAAAAAAAACGTCGCTACAGTTCAGTTCTGAGTTCTCGGTAGAAGTTCGTAGAAAACTTAAAGAGTGATTAGAAGGTTTCATTCATGTATAAGACTTGGAGTTCCTGCGTTTTGTTTATGATACCAAGAGGGGACCAGTGTGTGTGTAAATCAGCGATAGCGCTGTATTTAAATATTATCAAGAGAATTTGCAATAAAAGTGCACCCAATCGTCCGAAATAGAACCCGTAATTTTCGTCACGCGTACCACCTTACACGCGAAAATATTTAATAGAGGAATACATTGAACTGATGTATATATGTGATCGACCTCATGTTTGAACTTTCTCGTCTCATAGTTTAAACTTGACACGACCAAAGAAACTAGGCCAAATGGCTGTAAAGGGGGGGGGGGTAGATAAGGAGAAACAAAAACGAACTGAAGAAAATAAAACAATTCGAAGCAAAATTAAGCTTGGAAAGAGCAGGACTGGGCGAACAAAACATCTAAGACGGATGTTGAACGTCAGCGATTTGTCTCGAGGATGAGCGAGTCGCTACGTGTGCCCCAAAGTGAAACTCCCCACGTCGCACAAATTCCACGGAGATTGCCCCATTTTTCTCCTGGAATGTAACATATGAATGGCGAGTGGTCTCAACTTCGTTTACTCAGCCAAGGTTTTCTCTGTAGAGGAACTCATTAGTGTAATTGGACCTATTTGCGGTACCTAAGAAAACTACTGGGGTGATAAGCAATAACACAGCGTTTACATGGAATGACTGAGCTCGGAGTTTGACATCTGCTGTCGTTAAGTCCACACTTATTCTGACGTATTTATTCTTTCATATCGTGAGTTCTCTTAAAATGCTAAATTTTCTGACCGCAGACCTAGTCACAAATTGTTCTGTAGCCCAACATATCTACGCAGTTAGTTGCCTTAAATATTTCTGCGTCTTTCATGTCCCAGAGATCTACCAACGTCGTGTGTAATAATTTATGCATTCTGTGAGGCGAATCAGTATGTACTATATTGAAGAAAGCAGTCTTCTGGGATTTTGCACCGTGTATATATGGTGTTAACCGACGTTTCGGAGGAACGTATCGCCTCCATCTTCAGGGTAGAAGAAAAAAATATATAAGAAATCTGCAAGCAAAGAGACCGTGAGAACCGGTAAAAGCAGACGTAAAAGCAGCAGCTTTTACCGGTTCTCACGGTCTCTTTGCTTGCAGATTTCTTATATATTTTTTCTTCTACCCTGAAGATGGAGGCGATACGTTCCTCCGAAACGTCGGTTAACACCACATATACACGGTGCAAAATCCCAGAAGACTGCTTTCTTCATAGTCACCGCCGTGAAAGCCTCAAATCTTACATGTACTACATTCTTTCATTTACTTTTAATGCCACTTAAAGAGCAAACAGAAAACTGGATTTGCCTTAATACATTTTTTTTAAAGCGGTCTGAATTGCACCCTACACTTAAGATAGGTTACTGTCTCAGATTTAAGACTTCCCTTTTCGTCGCCTCCTACGACTCGCAAGATCACAGTGGAGGTATTCGAAGCCGCCTTCACACGGGTGTATGAGTTTTTACAAGTGTCTCGTAATCTCTTGTATAAGTGTTATTTTCATTTATATTTTATCTTTGGTATGTGTCATTTAATCATAATTATAACTATTAAATAATTATATTATTCGGGTTTTGGGGCTTTTTCCATCGTCCGGCATTCTAGGTAATAGAGGATACGACGTTTCGGAAACTGGATCTATTTCCGTCTNCCCTGACCCCTTCTTACGGGGAGCAGATTGTGATAATGACCACTTACTGGTGGTGACAAAGGTTAGGGAAAGACTGGCAGTGAGCAAACAAACAACACATAGAGTTCGTAAGGAGAGGTTCAATCTCAAGAAAAAAAGAGGTAGAGGATAAAGAGATGAAGTGAGAGGAGGTTGGAGAAAACTGCATAATGAGGAGCTTCATAACTTATACTCTTCTCCAAGTAAAATTAGAATGATCAAGTCAAGAAGGATACGGTGGGCAGGTCATGTAGCACGAATGGGTGAGAAGAGAAATGCATATAGGATATGGGTCGGAAAGCCAGAAAGAAAGAAAGTCCACTAGGAAGACGAAGACGGATATGGACGGAAAATATTAAAATGGAGCTTAGGGAGATAAGATGGGATGATATGGATTGTATTAATCTGGCTTAGAATAGGGAGCAATGGAGGGCTCTTGTGAACACGGTAATGAACCTTCGGGTTCCATAAAAGTCTGGGAAATTCTTGAGTAGCTGCACAATTGACAGCTTTTCAAGAAGGGCTCAGCTCCATGAGTGAGTGTTCCTTTTCGCTGATGTTGTCATCCCAGGATTCGTGATACCGACACAGCCTTAGAAACTGTCGCTCTCGGTACCCCTACTAATGTGGCAGTTACTGTCACAGATGCCCCAGCTAAATGTGCATCAACGATCTGTCCAGTTTCAAAATCGAATAAATCTTATATTTTCCTATTCTTTCACGTGGGCTGTCACTCATCACAGTAACTAATGCACTGACACAAGCACTACAGAAAGTAAACAAACGGAAGAAAAGTATTAAGTGTCTCAAACCGAAGTTCTTTCATTATAGTCAACACAAGTAAATTATATTCCTCAATTTCTTAGTGTTTCCATTAATTTGTCAACTCCCTGCATATACGAATATATAAAGAAATAATACATTTTAGATAGAAATCAGTATTCGCTAAAACAACACGGGTATTTATTAATATTGAGGACACGATGTTGTGTTGAACACCACACATTATGAGAGCCTATAGCCTTCTCATTTCTTACTGTACGAAGTCTTAAATCATTTTTCGGACATGCACGTTTGTTACTGATGACAACAATTTCGATTCGAATAATACAAAGACTACCGTCATAAATGAACTGAGATTTAGGCCTGACTTTTTACAGGGACAGCATAAGCGACCCATACCCACCAGAACCGAAAGGTAGTCCAGGGTTCGAATCTGTATCAACGGCTTACAAGACGGCACTGAGTCAGGATGAGGAAGCCAGACAGAACCAGCCTCATTCATCCGGTGAGTCAGCTGTCTCATATTGAAATTTATATAACCAGCCGGTTGAATTATAGTCACCCGGTTGGGAATATACGATCGCGCTCCCTGCCTGCGTGTCACAGACTGTCTGTTACGTGTTTGAAGGAAACCGCTTGTACCGGTTCTCACGGTCTCTTCGCTTGTGGATTTCTTATTTTTCCTTCTACCCTGAAGATGGAGGCAATAAGTTCCTTCGAAACGTCGGTTAACACCACATCTACACAGTGCCACATCCCAGAAGACTGCCTTCTTCAAGGATAAGATGATTATTCAAACAAATTTTACTCATTCAATCTGACAGTGTTAAGGAGGAAGCGTCAGTGATTTATACTTAAATTGTACGTGGCTCAGGTACATTTGCTTGTACTGGAGAGTTCTATGTATATATATTTTTACGTTCATTCATTCATCATGGCTCTACAGTTCTTTGTTCCGCCCTGACCTCTTCTTAAGTTTCGTAATCTTTTTTACTCAGACGGTAGTACTCCTTGGATGAGTGATCAGCCAGTCGTAAGATCACTACTTACACAGGACAACACAAACACAGCATAAACCCGCACACAGACATCAAGGCCTTGACTGGGATTCGACCCCATGATTCCAGAGTTCGAACGAGTGAATACAGTTCATGCCTTAGACAGCTCAGCCACCGTGATCGGCATATTTGTAACATATACAAATATATTGTTCATTGTCTTAACTCTTTATTGATTTGTTGATTGATTTACTATATATTTTAAATATATTAGCACGAGGAATTTAATACACAGATAGTCATAAGAATATGTCAGTGAATCTCGTGAATGAGAAAAGGAAATGTTCACGAATGATGTACGTGGGCCTCCAAGTTACACAGTTACAAACTTGCTTCAATATTCGAGACTACGTAACACTGTTGGGTGACCCGGCGTCACGAGAAGGTGAAAACTAGCGTGGCCCCGAGAGAGCATTTCCGTCCTCTAACACTTCACGTTCCAAACGACGATGCCTCCACAGAGGCAGATAATATGTAGTTTTCAACCATCATATTGGTTTGATACACTCACGGTAAGGCACAAGTCTATTAGCCGTATTGCAGTAGTAATCCACGGCCTTCAGAGCAATTCACATTTGAAACTATAACCCACATTTACAAACATACTCCATTTACACCGTAGCTTACAACACTTTTGATCTGTAACTGCAGAAAAATTCTTAGTAGCAAAAGAAAATGAATACTGAACGATATTATCACATATATGAGTAACTCTTGACGGGTTTTTGGATAATTGGATTTATTACCCACTTACAAGTTTCAGTTACAAATAGCTATACCAGTCTCACGGAATTACACACTCCAAATGTCACTGTGGCTTCAACACACGCAGTCTTCTCTCTCTCTTCTCTAAACTTTTCCCGGTAACGGATTTTGGCACTGTCCGCTTACATCCTTACCGTCTGGCACACATCCCACAACTCGAACAACTGAATTCAGTCAAAGTCAGATTCGAAGTCAAAGCTACTTTGCGACTGGCGGTTTACCATCAATCAGTCTTCGCTTCGACCCGCTTGTAACTCCTCGGCATGGACCGCCGTAAAAACGCCGCTTCCGACAGTATCTCCACTGTTGCGTGTTGATTCGTTGCCATGGAGACGTGTTTGTTTGCGACGGGTCTACCCGCTAACTCTACGTTTGCTATGGATTGTTCTTTTAGCTTAGTTTCCTTATTTTGAAAAAACTGAAAGAGGCGTATGAGATCGCCTCGCTGCCTGTCTGGCTCTGTATTCGTGTTTGCCCATTTGTCAGCGCATCCCCCCTAATTTTTTAGGCTTATGAGATCACCCTGTTTCTGTCCGTGCATTCCCTCCTAATTTCTGTTAGGAGGCCTATGGGATTACCTTGCTGTCTGTGCATCTGTGTGCACCCATAAATTTTCGCCTTTTGCACGGTACATGCCTTATCAATGAAAAATAGAGGATTAGATCTTCCCAGAACTTCTTGTATAAAGTATAAAATGCCAGATAAATTTGTATGATATTTTTACTAATGATAAGAATATTTTTCTCACAATGAACGTCACTTCACGTATATGGGTAATCATTTAAGCAGCTCATCAATAAATTTGGCGACAGAGTTCATTATACAATTAATCCACAACGCGAAACAAGATGGAGTATCCTATGAACTTCCATGATATTTGTGGCTGATAAACCCGGTTAATTATACAATCATTCTTGTCATTACTCAACTTTTGTCAAGATAATTATAAAGTTACATAATTCAATATTTGGTTTAATGAAACTTGAGTTTATACAGAATTGATGCTCCATTGGAAAGTTAAAAATTTAGTGCAGTATATTTACAACATACCTCCTGCATCGGACGGGAAACTCAGGAATTTGTTCTGCAGTGTTAAGGCCAAAGACATTTCCTCTTAAGTTCGTATTGCCGTGGCATATTGCTATACATGAGGAGACAGTAAAAACGTTACAAGCTCCTTGTGGCTTCAGCTATTAAGAAAATGCAACGCTAGGTTGCAATTTTCTAAATGTAACAAAAAAGAACCAGCAACAAGAGCAATCAGGATCATCTGTCAACCAGAGATTATAGTGTGCTCTCTTGCTCTCGCAGTTTCTCTTGTCTCAGCTCTTTATTTTCTGCGGAGAAGCTACAGCCCGTAATTCAAGATGAATCCATTTGTATCGTAGACACAAACACGGCCATCTTTCTTGTACACTCAGCTAAAGAGCAGTCCGTCTGGACGGCGGAACATCGCTTGTAAATATAGATATTTAGATATTCGGAGATATGAGAACTACGTAATATCACATCAAACAATTATTTTGACAGTAGATTTAGTTTAGGCATGTAGTCGGGAACATTTGCGTTATTGTAACATATTTTAACTGAATTCTGCCATAGAATATTGAAAAACTAATCTGAAATTGTTTGAGCAATCCCACATTGCTCTCTGTGGTTCTAGAGGTTTACTTTTCTGTGAACTTGTAATGCTTTGGGATAACATGATCGTGGCCTGTTTCACTGGAATATCACTGGGAGAACAGAAGAAGAGTAAGAAAAGGCTTCAATTGGTGCCCTGGCCTAGTTTGAAAGTGTGTGTACCTCGAATACAAGTCATAAGCCTTGTCACTTGAGCCAGTTTATTTGGTTATTTATATTCGTTCCACTTTGTAATCAGATAGTTAAAATATTTACTTCAGCAATAAAGGAATGAAACAATTCAATATTTGTATTAATCTTTTAGATTTTTTAAGAATTCCTTTTCTCTAAAACGTAATTATTAATGTTGTATTTTAGCGTCCTGTTGCACTGATTTTCTTCCATGATATGTATACAGTTGCCGTCTTGTAGTGCACTCAATTTCACCTGTTACTTCACGACATGTTTCGGCAACATAATGCCATCATCAGGTGCCCTAATTACGCTAATCTATTTCATTGCTTGCCTTTATAAAATTATTTATTTACATAGAATATAAGATAAACGACCCCCACAGTGGAAGAACCACAAAGTTTTAATTAAGACACATAAGATGAATAATCTTAACAAGTTTTAGTGTGTGTAAATTTATTACAGTTGACAAATACGCTCTTTTTAAATACTCTTTAAATAATTTTATAAAGGCAAGCAATGAAATAGATTAGCGTAATTAGGGCACCTGATGATGGCACTATGTTGCCGAAACATGTCGTGAAGTAAGAGGTGAAATTGAGTGCACTACAAGACGGCAACTTTATACATATCATGGAGCCTAATTATTATTAATTTAATTTTTTCACATTTCACTAAACATTCCAGTAGAAAGAGTTATATATAACTTACATATTCATTTCTGAAGGCGTGCTTGAAATACAGAAAAATTTGTAGATTTTATGAATTAAAATTTCGCTTTTGCCTAAACAAGTCCCATGCAGCTGTGTGGATGAACCTAACCTAACCTAGCTTCTCTGCAGTGCGGCATATTGGGTCACGTGCTACTGTTTATGAGATCATTTCATGGCCGTGGAGCCGCTTGCCGCGGACAAGGAGCGCCGGATTTGTCGAATGTCTCCATGGAGTTTTACAGAGTGGGCAACATAAGTCCGTCGAGAGCATTTTCGTGTACTCATAGGTTGAAAGTTTAGTAGTCCCTCAAATTTCACGTGAGGAATGTTAAATGTCGGTGTGTGACTTGTGTTCAGTCAATACAAAAGTTATTAAATTATATAAGTAACATTATAATCCTAATTATTTTGAAGAGAATAATTTATATTATTTATTAATACAGCCGTAGTTTATTAATATAGAAGATAGTAATTCGTAGTAGGGCTATTTCGGTCTCCAGCAAAAACTGTGTAGGTTATTGAACAGCCGTGTATCAACTACACAGACTCTTCGGCGAAAATGAGGAAAGCTCATGTAGTTGGAGCTGGAAAGGATGAAGGAAAATTCGACTTATATTTAGACACAAAGCCCTGGCATTCATTCGGAAGGAGAACCATGAAAAATTTCGGTGAACTAGACCGGATTCGAACCTGGGTCCCAAATACAAGTCAGAAGCTTTATCGCCTGAGTTCTCCTGCATCGTGAATGCCAATAGATTTTTCGGACTTGAACGTAGCCCTTACATCACGACTTTATTTCATGCGTAACTACAGGCTTACTACTTTCCCTGCTGACATTCCATGCGTGCTGTACTCTCACCCAATCAGTGTGGCTGCCATAGGCGGAGAGGGCTCACATGAGAGTTCCTAGTTACGTACGTCGTGTTGATGAACAGAGTGGCCACTCCAGTCTTCATGTACGTATTCCTAACAAACATTATTTCGAAAAACGTATTTTTAAATTTAAAAGAGGTGTCAGTCTTATGAATTATCATTGCTTCGAAGTAAGGGACAACTGCGGTTCAGCTGAAGAGCACATCCTCCTCACGAAACTCTGTAATTTTGGCTATAGTATTTATTATAACTTGTTACAGTAATTCCTGTTTAAATGCAAATACAACATACCACAGTCCCCTTAAAGCCGTTCCAAGTTCTTTTCAAGTAATTTATATTTAAATGCAAATGTAATATCATACAGTCCACAATAGTGTCCAAAACCTCATGTGGGATGTCTTAACCCCCATACCAGATATGGTCGAAGTAGATGCAAAGGTACGGAAATACTAGTATATATCAAAAACAAGCAAACAGACATACCTCTATTTTAAATTCAATTATAGTCTATTACCCTTAAATTTACTCTAAGTATCCCAAGTGGTGTCGTTAATTCAGGAGTTCCAGTCAGATTTCTCCTATGCTTGCTATATACCCTGTCTGTCTCGTTCAGTTAAATACGGCCATTCTAGTAATATCTGCTGAACAGCAAAAATTTTGGAACCCCTCATTAAGAATTTTTGGTCACCCCCCTCCTGTTTGCTTCTTCTCCTTTACGCGAAAATGTGCTCTTTTCAATTTCGATTCCAAAACCGTCAACTGGTATTTTCCCTGGGGTTAAACAGACCCTCATGAAAAAGGAAGCCTTTCAACAAACTGACACAACTCATTCCTAATTCTAGTCAACTGTCAGAAGCGAGAGCGGAAGTTTACGTAAAAATAAGACTGTTATTTATAAGTCTGATATGGTCCCACAGTTGATAACATTATCAGAAAGCTCTGTAGCCATTCGTCCTTTGTGTTCCTCATTACTTTTCCTTTAAGGAAAAATAATCCTATTTACTCTGCACATATTTTGTTTTAATTGCTAGTGGAGTGGGACTAAGTCCCTTGTACTGTGGCCACTTCTGGCCTATTGTACCAGCCCCAGATGATAGGTGAGGGTGATTGTGGAGCGATTGGTGGAATGAAGATTGGCAGGGGAAACCGAAGTACTCGGAGAAAACTTGCCCTAGCGCCACTTTGTCCACCACAAATACCATTTGACTAGACCCGAGATAGAACCCGGGCCGCCGCGGTGGGAAGCCAGCGACTAACCGCTTGAGCTATAGCATTACCTACTATGCACATAACTCCAAATCGAACAAAATTCTGATTATATTTTATTAAACGAAAGAATTCTATGTCCCCAGAAAAATCTACGTGTTTGTGATTTAGTGAAAATTTATACAATTTAATGCAAAGGAAGAGAGGCATATGCTAATATTCTTGTGTTCGACCCGCGGAGAGGCTTCTTCAGAATTCCTAAAAATTGCCGTCCGCGTATCCGTTTCGTCTCATCAGTGAAAATTCGCGAAATCTTTTGAAGTTGGCAACAATCAGATATCCCACTAAATAGACCTGAGTTCAATGTCTGCTTCTTCTCAATGCGTATGTCGTGGCTGGTTTTCACTATTTTTTGATATCCATTTGCAGTGACAGAGCTGTATAAACACTTTATAGACCGCCAACATTGCAGTCTTATTACAGACACTTGTAGTTGCCGCCATGTCAGAAAGTAGTCGGCTCACTAGAAATGTGTGGGAAGTAAAGATACGTAAAGTTACAGCAACAACCGACGTTTCGGATGGCAGGAAACGTCGAACCACGCTTCATGTACAAAGTTATGTAATTTCGCTTTTCAGAAGACATGTGCTGGCACAATGATGGCCGAAACCGTATTCTTCTCCTTCCTTGACATCTTTAATTTCACTAGCAAATTGGTTTTCCTGTGTCTCGTTTGTGCTCAATTCTATGTTGTAGAATTTATCCATACCTGAAATAAGAACAATATATTGCTAATGTGTCAGAGTAAAATAAATTCCTGATCAATTATTCCACCATCCATGATAGTGTTCAAGATTTCTTCGTTATTTTCTTCTTTTCGAGTTTTCGCTTCTTCCTGCAAAATTTAAAATTCTTCTTACATTTATTTCCACTCTGATTCTCGTGACAACATGCACTGGAACAAAATCATAAAGCAGTGGGGAAAAAGGAACCCCTTCTAGCCTAACTATATATTAATATCTCGCAAACAAAGGGTGAAATTGACTTTCATATAGATACTACCGATCCGACATGTCATTTTCAGCCTGATGAACAACTCACTAATCCTAATTACTCAAGTATCATTTGACATTTTCGCATTTCACAAAAATGTATTTCGAATTGACATTGACGTTTCATTTTCAACAGATGTAATCAGAATTCGACAGCCTCTGTGGTCTAGTGGTCAGAGTTCCTGGCTACAGTTCCAGACGTCCGGGTTCGATTCCCGGCGCTACCAGATTTTCTGAGAAGCAGTGGGTCTGGAACGGGGTCAACTCAGCCCCGTGAGGATAACTGAGGAGCTATTTCAAAGGAATAGTGACTCCAGTCTAGAAAACAGAAATTAACGGCCGTGCGGATTCGTTACGCTGACCACGCGACACACTCTATCCGCTAAAGTTGGTACTAACTTCGCAGACGAGCGGCGGTCGCTCGGTCGGTATAGTTCGCTTCAGGACAGAAGCCACGGAGTTTATTTGTTTGTAATCAGATGTCAGAGAATTACGTCCCTGTTTCTTTTCTTTTTGTATATGGTCTACATTCTGTGCACTAGATTAGTGAACCGTTGGGGGTAATTTTGAATATATCTGTCACATTATAGGAGTTACATGTACAGATTTTACTGCGAATACAATGATACATCGGTGTCACTGACCTTGTGTGTTCAAGCCGTCAAATTTGAACGCGTCTGTGAGGCGGGGGCGCCTCCAGGCGACAAGTCTCGCCACTGCAGGTGCAGTGACCACAGCAAGCGTCAGTAATGGGAGGACTAAAAGCCACAGAACGTACGGATGGTCGATGTGCTTGGCGCCAGGCAAAACCCTGTTTGAAAAGTGGCAGTTTGGTTATGGTCTATTATGAGAGTATTACTAGTGACATGGAGGAACAAGTGAAATACAGAATACGCAAAATATGCAGTACTGAAACTCGCGCATCTCGAACCGGCATGTGTAGTTGTCGACGGGTCATAGCTCCAGCCGCACGTGTTCCCAGTAGTGGGAAGGAAGTTGTGTTGTGCAGTTGTTGTCGGAAATTGGTCTCTAAACGGAGGAAAAAGTATTCATAATTGAGAATTATTTCCGCTCATACGGAAGTCGTCGCCAGCCAACTCGCTTCCTTGGTTCTGAGCTACACAGTACACGTGTGACAATATGGTGTGCCGTCTCAGCACACGGTATATTAGGGCCCTATTTCATTGTGGATGAGGAAGGCAAGGCTCTTAGCCTCACCCAAGAACGCTACAGGGATATGGCGATCGGACCATTTCTTCAGGATTTGAGAAGGTTCTGTCGTGCAAGGGGCCTTCACATGAATAGACAGTGGTATCAACAGGACGTCTTTTCATTTCAGTACTGTAATTTGGCGCATACTGTACTCGTACTTTAAAAGTTTTCAAGAGGAAACGGCATGAAGATATGTAATATGCATCAGAGGCAATGATGCACAAAATTTTGTTACTGAAACCACTTGCAAAAAATCATTAGAAACGAGATGGAGGTGGGAGGATAGTAGTAAAATACATATTGAATAAAGCAATGCATTGTGAAGATACTAACTGGATTAAAAGCTCTCAATTGAATCCAAAGATGATGTTTGGTGCTAGTGATGTTGAATCTTGAGATTAGTAAAATAGAGTGAGAGGGTTATATTGCCGTCATTGTTTCTTGTGATTATGGTGGAAGTAGCGAACTGTAACATTCATAGATTGAGTAGGAGTCTTATCAAAATATAGTTTCTAGGACCGCTTGAATCACGACAAGGTGAACATTATTTGTTCTGCACAAACTCCATGTGGATGGAAGAATAAACAATCAGTTAGAACCGTGAAAACTTTTTTTTTAATTTATATAATTTGATCTATCCTGGCTTCTACTATAATTAAAAAGACACGTAAACAAAACAATTGTATAGAACACTATTCCTTTCAGAAGGTCTGGAGGAGAAATACTCCGTATTTTGTGGAATTCAAATATTAATATTTGTGACTGCCACTGGACCCTGTTCTAAGCTTCTAGAATATGGTATATACATTCACACGCTATTTCTCTGAAATAAAACCTCATATTATTATGCCTTCTATTCTTAGGTCGACCAAATGTGGTTATTCCCATCGTATCATTCTCTTTCGTCCTATGTGTGCTATATGTTTTGCCCATCTCATTGTCGTTGATCCTATAAACTAATATGCTGTGTAGACTAAGTGTTTGTAGGTGCTGTGAAAAAGTGGTCAGATCATTCCTTACTGAAATTAAGTTGACAATAAGAGAGAGCGTGGCAAATGAGATATTTCTGTAAATTAAATTATAGAGCCTGCTTATGGATTTAGTATAATGTTTAAATTGTTCCTCTTCGTTCATAATTGAGATATTGTTCCAATTTTCGTCTTAAATAGGAAAAATATTATTCTATATTTATAAATAATAAATTAAATTACAACAATTTAACTCTGTGAACAATCACCACTCACCTTGTAAATGTAGAATTAAAATAGCGAGTCGAACAGTTGACACCTGTCCATCCCTTGCTGCAGTCACATGTAAGGTAGTCAGTACAGTTCCCATTCAGACATCCACCAGGACACTTCACGACGCAGATGTTAGGCTGGGTGATGTTGTGTATATATCCATCACTATGACAGGTACATATGTCCGGTGCCGTGCAGTTGCTATTCACACACTGTCCAGCACACAAAGGCAAGCAGTCCCCGCTTTCTTCGCCATCAGAGTACCCTTCATTGCAAGTGCAAATATTCTGGGCTGCGCAGGCAGCATTTGCGCATCCTTCGGGACATTCTGGTAAGCACATATTTGGATTCACCTTGTCTTTTGTGTAACCTTTATGACAGGTACACGTATTAGGCCCGGTGCATTCCCCATTCTGACATCCTTCCTTGCAATACGGTGCGCAGGCATTGGGAATATCCATTTGCTTGACGTAACCTTCGTGACAAGAACATTCATCAGGAGCTAAACAGTATGAATTTATACAGGTTTCTTCACAGATTGCTGAACAGAGGTAAGAGTTATTCGATTCCAGAGAATAGCTGTAGCCCGGAAAACAGGTACAAGTGTCAGGGGCTGTGCATTCGGCATTTATACACATATTGCTACATGTTGGATAACATTTATTCGTAACATTGTTTCTTTGACTGTAACCTTCATGACAGATGCATTTGTTAGGTCCGACACAGTCTCCATTGTGACATCCGTCATAGCAAAGCGGCAAGCATTTGTGGAGTTCTCTAGAATCTTTGACGTACCCAGGCTCACATGTGCAGAAGTTCGGGGCTGTACATACCCCATTTATACAGATCTCGTCACAGGTAGGCAGGCATTTGTGTTTATTATTAATGTCCATATGAAAACCATTTTTACATACACATGTATTTGGAAACACACATGATCCGTTAATGCAGTTTGGATTACAAACTGATAAACAATTTGTTTCATTTATGGAGTCTTTTGAAAATCCATTATTACAAGTACATACATTCGGAGCAGTACATTCTCCGTTAACACACTCAGGATCACAAACTGGAGTACATTGTGTTGATTTCTCTGAGTCTTCTCTAAACCCTTCGTTACATGTACACGTATTTGGTGCAGTGCATTCTCCGTTAACACAGCCAGGCTCACAAACTGATACACAATTTGATGCATTCTCTGCATCTTTCGCAAATCCTTCGTTACATGTACACGTATTTGGTGCAGTGCATTCTCCATTAACACAGCCAGGCTCACAAACTGGTACACAATTTGATGCATTCTCTGCATCTTTCGCAAATCCTTCGTTACATGTACACGTATTTGGTGTAGTGCATTCTCCGTTAACACAGCCAGGCTCACAAACTGGTACACATTTCGTGTTATTCTTACCTTCTTTGATGAAACCAGCATTACACGTACAAATGTTTGGAGCTGTGCACATTCCATTTATACATTTAACATTACATACTGGTAGGCAATTCGTATAATTTTCAATATCCCTTGCGAATCCAACATTGCATGTGCAGACGCTAGGGGCAGTACAACGTCCATTCGTACACTCTGGATTGCAAATCGGCACACAGATGTTGCTATTTGTGAAACTTCTGCTATAACCTCTAATACAAGTGCAAACATTTGGTGCCGTGCAGTTCCCATTTATGCATTCTGGATGACAAACAGGAAAGCACTTCTTGCTATTGCTAGCATCTTTCTTGTAACCACTATTGCATGTACATACGTCAGGAGATGTGCATTGTGCATTTATGCAACCCGGACTGCAATCGGGTATACACTCCGTGCCGCTACGAGAGGGTTTTACGTAGCCACTATTGCAGGAACAGGAATTAGGCGCCGTGCATTGACTGTGAACACATTTCGGATCACAGACCGGAGTGCACACAGAATTGATCTCCTTATACCCATCACAGCAGACAGAAGAATAGGTGAGGTACGTCTGGAATGAGATGAGTTAAATATATACAGACAGAGGCCGGAAAAATATCTTCCTCTTTTTATGCAAAACTCAATTTCACATTTGTTTTAATCAGAAAACTGAAGGAACGAGAATTTTGGAAAATAATAAATAAACGGGAGAATAAAATAAATATTTTTAAATAAGCCATGTGAGGATAATTGAGGACCTACTTGAATGGAAAAGTAGCGGCTCCGGTCTAGAAAACCGAAATTAAAGGCTGTGGTGATTCGTTGAGCTGACAACGCGACACCCTCTATCCGCTAAATTTGGCACTAACTTCGCTGATAAGAGGCGGTAGCTCGGTCGGCATAGTTGCCGACTAAAGCCACTGATTTAAACAGTGTGAGGGTGTGAACTATATTCAATTTCCTCAGGGCAGAATCCAGTAATGTTCACAAGAACATTGTAAGTAAATTCATTTCAATAAAAGAGAGGACATTTATTGCCAATCTCGGCTATTATTAGCTTCTTAGCTGATGATGTAACGATGAAGTTAGCTGGAGATACCAGTTTCTTTGTATGCATTTCTATATACAAGTGAGTGTACACAATGACTTTTCCTTTATTCAGTGACAAAAGGATTTTCAAAATTACAATTCACCCTTCAATATTCCAGTCTACCTTTAATACAAGGGTTGGATAAAAATAGTGGCAACACTGCTGTAACATGAAAGATGTGCGTCGGGTGGCACTAGCGCCGTCTGTAGCTGATAGCAGAAGTTCAGTTGAAGTAGTTCAGTGAGTGGCTCTGGTTGTGTTTCATTGAGTTGCACTGTGCATCGTCTTCAAGTGCAGGAGCCCAGTTCAAGCACCCTAACAACATGTTTACAAAACAAGAAAAACGCTCCTGGATAAAAATTGAAGTTGCACGAGGTCGTAGTGCACAAAACTGTTATCAGGGACTGCGAGAAGCATGTGCCATTTCGCACAGTGATACGATGGGTGAAATTGTTCCGTGAAGGGAGGGATGCCGTTCAGGACGACCCCATGTTGACAACAACACAATTCAGCTTCTTGCTTCTTTGCTGGATGTCGATAGTCGACGGGCTGCGCGGGAGATAGCTGCTGAGGTTGGCGTATGTCTCAAAACCGTGCTCCACATCTGCACGCTGTTCTTGGATACCGCAAAATTGCAGCGCGTTGGGTACCCCATACAATGCCCGAGGTGCAACAATGACAACGTTCTGCAATTGCATAAGACTTGTTGGACCAGTACCAGAGGGAAGGTGACGACTTCTTTGGAAGGATCGTCACTCTGGACGAAACTTCGGCTCGCTCATACGAACCGCACTTGAAGCGACAATCAACTGAATGGAAGCATCCTGGCTCTCCTCGTTCAAAGAAAGTGCGTCCTACACAGAGTAATGTGAAGGCGATGTTCATTGTGGCATATGGCACTGATGGAGCGATACTGCACCACACTGTACCTCAACGACAGACGGTCAATGCTGCCTTCTACTGCAATTTCCAGCGTAATTATCTTCGTCCAGCACTCAGAAGAAAGCGACGACACTTGTTGGCAACGAACCCCATCATCCTTCATGAAAATGTAAGGGCTCATACTGCACCATCCGCCATATTCACCCGATATGAGTCCGTGCGATTATGATCTCTTTGCCCAAATGGAAGAACCGCTGGGAGGGACCCGTTACAACAAAAGAGGAGTCGTGCTGAAGGGCGGTCATTGCTGGACATCAACAGAAGTGGACGCGCTGATGGTGTACGACGCCTTCCACAAATTTGGCAGAAAGTGGTACACATCGGGGGGTGATTATAGTGAAGGAATATAAGTGTGTTTAGCTCAGGTAATAAAGTCACTTTAGAACTACTACTTTCTATCCGACCTATGTATGTTGGACCTTGCCCGTTGCCTAACATACATTTGAGGCGTACTTGACACACACCGTGTTTCTTTCTTGAATCTACTTCAGTCTTCATGTGGTTGGTTATATATTTATATTAATATTATATATATTTATTCATCTGATATTTTTTTAATTTTAATATTAGTGGCAGCAGTCAGTACAAAATCCAGAATTATTTACTAAGAAATAAATCACCGGAAGTTCAACATTTAAAAGGTTTCCTGCTTCAATCCCAGCTATCATTAGTAATTCTAAAAATTAGAATAAATAATAAACATGTCATTATAATGAGAGTATAATATTAGTGAAATAACCTGAAGAGGAGAGAAGAATCAACTTCCGAAACATCATGAGCATCACATAAACCTGTATCTTAGGCAAGGAACCATCTCCTACGTAACACGCGAAACAACAGTTACAAAAGTCTTTATTAAATATTCTTTAAATGAGGGGTACAGTGCCTTGTAAAGGGCTAGATACTTTTGTTTGCATCGAATTGTTTCAAACGGCATATCTGTGAACAAATCTGTTTGACTGCATACAGCTACAGTTTTTTCCAACTTGACGTGTTATATCTGGCGAGAATATTTAATTGCTCAGCGGGGATAAGGTACACCGAATAGACTACGGGCTGGACGACTGGGGTTCGATGTCAGCTACTGCTTAATAACAGAATCTACATGGTTCAGAATTTGTATTTAAAATGACGCAGAAGACTTGTTCAAGTGAAAGTCGTTCTGATGAAAAAAAGTAGAGATTATTAAATGTAGTACCCAGCGGCCATGAGGCAGGCATCCCATTGCCGTACCGGCCGATGAAAGACTCTGCAAAGAGCTCCTACATTCACACAAGCAGTCACGTGATATCCTGAGGTCGGACCTATTCTCTGGCAGCTTCACGAACACGTTCCATTTGAACAAGCTTTGTACATTTCGTCCCGTTATAACTTCTGCAACGAGGGCCATTGTCCAGTGGACAGAATTTCTACACATTCGAGAGGTCCCCTCTTGAAATATCTACCCTGAGACCGGCTGATTTTCCTCAGTCATTCTGAGCATATACCGGAATAGGCTACTACAGCCTCTTTTCACAACCTATCGGCCGAAGCTATATAGTCTCAGATATTTAAAAGTTATACACATAATTTCGACAGTTGTACGTAAGTAACGTACGTCAATAACAGTAACAACAAAAGTATACATATTTTGAATCGCAGTTTTACCTGAAGTTCCCAGCGGACTTCCGTCACAATCCTAGTTCGCTGGCATCCGAAGACACACCATTTCTTTCTATAAGTTTCAGTGCGTGTCCCAACATAGGACTTAAACCGCGTTCTGGTAGACCTGTGGACACACATGCAGAATTAGGGTGAAAACCTACAATATCAAAAGAATGATTAGACCTCTTTTTTTCTGTCTTGGGGAGGAAATTGCGAAAATGTGAATTTGCGACCGCCGCTTGTCGGCGAAGTTAGTGCCAACTTTTGCGGATAGGTGTTACGTGGTCAGCGCAACGGGTCCCCACGGAGGTTAATTTCGGTTTTCTAGACTGGAGCCGCTGTTTCCTTGAAATAGCTCCTCACTTATTCTCACGATGCTGAGTGGACCCCGTTCCAGATCCACTACTTCTCAGAAAAATACGTAGCGCCGGAAATCGAACCCGGGACCTCTGTATCTGTAGGCAGGAACTCTGACCACTAGACCACAGAGAACATGTAAATATTTTCATAATATTTTGTGGATCTGAACGCGCACAGCTATGTCGTTAGGTTGTGTACTGGACGGGAAACAATGTTTAATTTTTGCTGAATTACCAAATTTTCTTTCCTTTTTTTTTTCATCATTCGCTTGCATTATACTTAAACACAATTTAAAATTTTAATAATCTATATTTGACCTTACTCAATCAATAAAATGCTCGCTCATTCACACGCTGAGATAAAAGATGATATTACTTTGTTTGTATTAATTTATTCAAATATATTAAAATAAAAAAGTGTACCAATGTACAGGTCTGTTTGGTGAAAAAAATACTTGAAATATTTTCAACAGTGGTTATATTTGTGTTCTTCAGTTACTGCAACAGTAATTTCTGCAGCTAGGTACAATTTATTTTTTGTTGACTTAGTGAAATATTTCAGTTAATTGTACCAAGTCAGGGAAATGAGCTGATTCATTGAAAACCAAAGTAACATAAAATAAAGAGTTCTCTCTTCTGGGCTATGATATCGCGCACTCTGGTGAAAGTCGACAGACATTTCGGAGGGACGTGTAGCCTGAATTTGTAGGGCCCATGATTAAGCTAACTAAGAAAACAACATGAAGAAGGTCGCAGCAGCTCTGCTTGTCAACGCCTCTTTACTTTCAACGGATATATCCTTGAAGACAAAAATCTTCATAACCACCGGTGTGATTACCTCAGGTCCTACAAAATACTGTCACGTGTTTAGGCGACTGAGATGTGGGTTTGGATTGGTAATTGGTTTTATTAACAACCTACAGGTCGTAGCTACAATTAATTATAACACTGTTACTGATTTACGCAACTTGCAGTCACTACACTGATCTCTTCAGTCTATCTGCAGTTGGCTTCACGGGTTTATAACATGGGAAATGTAACAGTCTCCCTAAATTACACGCTCCCAATACCACTGCACTCTAGCACACTATTCAAATCACACGCTAAATCCTCACAGTTCGACCTCCTGCACTCTTCTGTACTCCTGGTTCGAATTCGCTCTCAATTAATCTTCACAATTCACGCTCCACTATAGTCCTTGTACTCTCAACTTCTGAACCCTCCTGGACTCTCCACTTAAAAACTGGAACTGTTCAAAGACAAAGTCAAAGTCACATTGTGACTGACGGTCAGTCGGTCAGTTGGTCAGTCTTTATGTCAAGTCCAGTCTGGGGCTTATGACCAGGTACACGATACTGTTTGACAGTTTCGGTCTGGTTTTGTGGGGCGCCCTCTCTGACGAGAGGACGGGTCTGTATTTTGTCAGAGTCATTGTCTGCAGGAGTAAGTCATTTGTCATAATGCGGAAAATGTTTACATTTAACGTGTTAAACATGTTAAAATGTATATAAAATATATACAGGGCCTCTGTCAGTCCAGGGTCAGTATAGCAAATTTTGCCTTATTTCTAGTAGTAATCGCTAGAAATAGGGCAAAATCTGCTGTACTGAGCCTGGATTGACAGAGGCCTTATATATATTGTACATTGAAATAGGAATTAAGATTAAATTTGTAAATATATGTAAATACTGACAATGGACTTACTAACACAGATTATGACTGACAAATGACAAACCCGACCTCTCGTCAGAGAGGGCGCCAAAAATGAACAGGACAGTAACTTTCATATAAAAAAGAATCTGGTCAAGAGCTCCAGTCGGGGATCGACACCAAGACAGACAGACTGACTGACCGTCAGTCGCAATGTGACTTTGACTTTGAACAGTTTCAGAAATTCCATACGTATATGATTATTATAACAAAATTATGCAGGCAACAAGCGGAAGTCATACAAAATCAAGGGTAACGAAAATGTTCGCAATATTGGACAAGGCGAAGCTCGACATGAAAAGTATAAAAGGCTTAAACTTGACGACGGTCAAGCATAAAACCGTTCAAGTGCTGTCTGGAACTGTCGTTATATAGCCTCCGCACCAACCACGCAGGAAACACAGACTCTATTGTTGAAACGTGTTTACCGAAGGTTGCATAACAGGGGTCATGGCGCCGACCGCATAGAAAAAACCGTACTTCTATTGTTGCATTGCGTATATTCGGTCGTGGGGTGTTTAACAGTCAGTTACCTAGCAACCTTCTGTTCATCCAGGTTACAATATGAAATAATCAAATTTAGTCTTTTCAAACTTTTGACATTAGTAGCATTCGAACTGGTAGAATATTTTTTAAAATAAAAATAAAGGAACTTCTAGACGTTTCATGAGTTTCAGTCATTGAAATATCCTTAAAATTTTTCCTATATGCGGGAAACGGTTTTTGCTGTGCGAGTGAAATAATTACATTTATGTGTCAAAGTAAATTGCGTTTGAATCTTAAGTTAGAATGTTACGAAATATTTGGATGGAAACGAAGAGGCGTGGCAGTGCCTTTGGACGTATATACGACAATTGGAATATCGAGTGATACCCAGTGTGTTCATTCATGTTTTTAAGAATTTTTCTTTCAGCTTGTATAGGAAAATTCTGGGAGAGTAAATTCCGCCTTGAAATAGGCAATGATTTTCCAGTTGAAAAATCGTACGTAAACATATTCGCGATCGTCTTCAAAACTCATTTATTACAAACTGTAATTTTAAGTTTCATTTTTACGCCGTTTTTTCCCATGTGGTAAAACATGGACCGTTAAGTTGTCACAAGCTTTCTCCTGGTTGCCAGATTGCGCTACCGGACCAATAAAACCTGAAACTGCCCCTACGTCTTCATGGCATGATACTTTAACTTCACCTCTTAACCTCCTCCTATGAAATCTCACGCGACACCCAAAAAACGGTGAAAAAACAAAACGGACAATTTTAATTAGGAGAGGTTTTTGCTTTTTTAAATAATTCTTCCATCTTCAAGTTTAATTGTTAAAGTAGACTGAGATTAAATTGCTTTACATTATATTTATGGAATCGGTTTCATTCATACCTTTGTCAATAAAATGTGTTCCGATTCCATGAAAATATTGCGATAATACAATACAATCGCCTTACGTTTGCGAACCGTTTGTCTACATTTTAAGCATAAATTATTTCATTTTATGGAAGGTGTACTAGTGAAATTAAATCCAGGATTGCCATGGCAAAAGCTGCATTTAGCAAGAAGAAGGATCTTTTTACCAGCAAATTGGACTTAAATTTGAGGAAGAAACTAGTGAAATGCTACATTTGGAGCATAGCTCTGTATGGGGCTGAAACATGGACACTTAGGGCAGTAGATCAGAAACATCTGGAAAGTTTCGAAATGTGGTGTTGGAGAAGGATGGAGAAGATCAGTTGGACCGATTATGTGAGAAATGAAGAAGTGTTAATTAGAGTCAGTGAGCAGAGGAATATCCTACACGAAATAAGAAAACGGAAGGCTAATTGAATTGGTCATATCTTACGCGGTAACTGCCTTCTAAAAGAAGTTATTGAAGGAAAGATAGAGGGGCGGATAGAAGTGACAAGAAGGCGAGGAAGAAGACGTAAGAATATGCTGGATGGCCTTGGGGACAGAAGAGGATACTGTCATTTGAAGGAGAAAGCTCTAGATCGCATTAAGTGGAGGAATTGTTTTGGAAGAGACTGTGGACCTGTCGTCTGACAGATTACTCATGATGATGATGATTTATTTATATGAGGTCAGTATCAGTAATTCACATTCAGTAGCGCGTGGTTCCCAGATCCTGCGACAAGTCTGTGCGGTAGCAGATGAAGCTGAAATCCCAAAGCATAAAGGTTGCCAATGCGAAGACATTTCTTGTGTACTCATTGAAGTTTTACAAGCTCTGTAGCCCGGACCGGATCTCGCTTCCTCACTCAATAACATGTGGATCCGACGCGTAGAAGAGACCAAGTTGCAACGCCGTGTAGTTCGAAAACAGCCAAACGTTTCGGATGAACGTATCGCCTCCAATTTCAGTTCCTAAGATAAGCTTGCCTCTCGTTTATACAGGTTCCTTGCTTGCTTGCTTTTCAACCCAGAATGTGAGGGTGGTATGCTTCTTCGAAACTACTGAACCAGTCCAAAGTTCATGGCGTTGCAACCAAGAAGTTCCTACTCCTTCTAATGTCCGCCGTGAAGATCTCTTATCCAAGAGATTTAGTCTAATAAATGAACTGACGAGAAGCGTGTGTGTGATAAGACGTGACTGGAACTATAAATGACTGATACTACATTGACTGCTTCTACCAGTGCTAGAAACAGCCAATCTAGATTTATTGTGTTCTTAGGAAAAGCTAATAATATTAGGATGTAATTGGGAAGCCGTCCCTTGTTAATCAAAATGGCGAGGCTTCTTTTGACGTCTGAGCAACGTTAAGTAGCTCCTAAGTGCTACTGGAACACAGAGAATGTGAAAGGGGTATAGAGACGCAGAAACGAGGTTGAAGCATCAGGTTCAACTACTTCAAAGCGCGAGGAATTTGAGACGGGAGAGAGAGACGTGTACAAGAGCTGGAAAATGTTAACAGGCTTTCACACGGTTCCCTACTAAGACCCTGCAATGTAGTTTCTACGAGGAAGAGACTGTAAGATCAGCGCTCATTGCATTCTGCGCAGCGCGAAGTGGACAATATTGCTGTATCCCATGAATGAAGAATATAAAGATCATTAGATTGAAATATATGTGTCTTTTTTAGCGTCTTTAGATCCTCATATTATTTATTTAGCCTATTAAAGTTCTTTCCGGCAGATCACAGCAGCCGCGCCGTCTGAGGCATGAACCGTCTTCGCCCGCTCGAACACTGGGTTCATGGGTTCGGATCCAATTGTAGGCATGAATGTCTGTGTGCATTTATTCTGTGTGTAGGTAGCGGCTTTGCGACAGGGCTGATCCCCCTTGTAAGGAGTCCCATCGACTGTGAATAGATTAAGAAACAGAAAAATTGGCCAAGGTCAAAGCTCTGTAGAGCCAGAGAGAGGAAAAGAAGTTGATTTCCAATTCAGTTGCACCATTTGTCGAGACAGCTATGTGTGGGATCTAAAAAGTACACGTGACATTATAAATGGCAGTCAGTCTACCAAGGAGCCTCTAGCGTTACATGAACGAAAGAAGTATTAGTAAGAAATAATCACCTATCTTCTCTTGATACGATACGGATGGCAACGCCACAAATAATTTTTCGTTCCAGCTTGAATGTGTTTTCCGAGTCGTTGTCTAGCAACGGTAGCTGATACAAGGAGTCAGAAAACCCGAATTACTTTACGACTGGTGGTTTATCGCCAGTCAGTTCGATTTGACAAGCCCCTTGAGACTAGTGACTGGCATTTTTTTCAACCGAACCCTTTCAATCATAGTCTTCATGGAACAACCACTCTGACGAGAGGATGGGTCTGTCGTTTACAATTGATGCTGGACCTCTTCAGCGCAGTCATTCTCGGGTCTGAATCCCACGGGGCTCATGACCGAAACTTGCTGTTTTAGATTCAATTATCCCCCAACCTGGAGAGCCAGGACCCCGTATTTATATTCACCAAAGAGCGGACCATGTATATCCCCAGGCACTGGGTTCACTTTTCGTTGCCTCCTACGAATCGCATAGCTACGGTGGAGGAATTCGAATCCGCCTCCACACAGCCAGGGGATACACAGGCAGGAGATTATCAGTTGATACGATACGGACGCCTCCAACAATTCTTCTATTGTTACATGTATTCTTTGTCACAGGAACGTGACTACTGAGCCGCTGCCTAGCAACGAAAGTGGGATACACGTGCAAACGTACAAACTGATGAGAGAGATTTATGGAGTACTCCGTTGAGGTGGACTCAGGTGTCATACATATCAATTTTCATAAATATTGGTTCAGGCATTCAAAAGTTGTTAAGGGAGGGGTACCATGATAGACAGAAAACAAGGTGATCTCACATGTCTACTTTCATTTTCTCAAAATAAGGAAAGCAGACACAAGGAGAGTGTTGGTGTCCGCAAGACACTATCTGGAATGTGAGAAGAACGAAATAGGAACAAGAAGCGTCCGCCTTGACCCCCTGTTCTATAGTTCGGTAGAAAACCAAAACCTGCTAGGCGGAAGCCACTATGTAGGTCCGTATATATTTGTAATATGTTTTGATGTAACTGAACAGTTTCCTTGTTTTAATATTAGAGACCAGCCGATCAAAATGAAGGGATTGGACATTTATAAAATGTTGCTTATTATTTATGAAAATAAAATTACGATTACGGCATGCATAGTTACAGATGGAAAAGCTGTTGAAATCTGACGGGCAATCATTTCTCCGTATCTTTGTTCTTCACTGTCTCTTCCATTCCTTTACACCTTTCATATCTTTATTTCTTTCTTTCCTTTATAGTCTTATATGTATGTGTAACTATAATTTTACATGTGGTTCTGTATGAGTGTGAAATTTGGTCTCTGACATTAATGGAGGAACATAGACTGAGGGTGTTTGAAAACAGGCCGTTGAGAATATTTGGACCGAAGAGGGATGAAGTGACAGGAGGTTGGAGAAAACTGCATAATGAGGAGCTTCATAACTTGTACTCTTCTCCAAGTATTATTACAATGATAAAGTCAAGGAGGATGAGGTGGGCAGGGCATGTAGCACGATTGAGGGCGACGAGGAATGCATGTAGGATATTGGTGGGAAAGCCAGAAGGAAAGAGTCACTGGGAAGATCAAGGCGTAGGTGTGTGCACAATATTAAAATGGATCTTAAAGAGATAAGATGGGATGATATGAATTGGATTCATCTGGCTCAGGATAGAGACCAGTGGAAGGCTCTTGTAAACACTGTAATGAACCTTCGGGTTCCATAAAATTCTGGGAAATTCTTGATTATCTGCAGAATTGGCGGCTCCTTAAGAACGGCTCAGCTCCATGAGTAAGTATTTATGTATGTGTAGGGGCGGAGCATAGAATTTGGCCCTTGCACCGCGACCATGAATGAGCAGTTGTGCTTCCCACATTTTTGTCAACCCTTTATTAATCCTACAGTTCGAATGAAATGCAGGACCTTGTTTAAGGGGGCGTGAGAGTAGTCACTCGGTTCCATGAAGAACTGGCCTAAATTACGAAATCTTAAATAAGGTACGGCCTCATGATCATATAGGATGCGTCTAGCTGATTCAACCTCATCTAAGCACCTTAAACAAGTGATATCATCTGCCAATCCCAATTTGAAAAGGTGCCCTATAAGGTGACGTTGTCCTGTTCCATTTTATTCTTAAACAGTTTACATAATTTTCCTTCAAATTGTACAGTTTCGAACATAGAGTTTATAACTATGGTAGTATTTAAGACGACTCTGACGTGAGAGCGACGCGATATACAAATATAATTAAATAACAAACATACACAGCCATAAACCTGCTATATGCATATGCATAATCATAAAGATCGCTTACTTACGTTTTAGATATTTTACACGCAGCATTGCCAACATCAAAATGCACCAAAGATAGAAGAATGATCAAACCTAAACGTATTCTGCATTCTTGGAGGCAGAACATGTTCACTGCGGACTGGAGGGAAGAGTAAGAAGATGCATGTAGGCATCATAGTCAGAATGGGAAGAAGAAGATAACATAAAATCAGTATGAGATGTGCAGGAGGAAGTGACCTAATGTAGGATGAGATAGTGGGACGGAAATATGCGGTATCTTTGCTGAGAAACTTGCTGCTCGTTTAGCTCCAACTACACGTACGAGGGAATATTAGTTACTATTTCATGTCAAGTTGGCTACCCTAGTTTCGATCCCGAACCTATTTCTTGAAAGCACAATTCTGTATTCTGCCCTGCGAGTTCACAACCTAATGTTCGAAGCTGTCTTTTGTCTTTGTTAGAAAGTACTATATTAATTTCAGAACAACAGTATGCGAGACCCTTAGGGTGGCCGCACACCAACTGCGACAAGACAAGCATCAAGACATGAGAAAAAAGACGCAGTCTTGCTTCATTCGTTATTCGTCAGCATGAAGCTGACGTCAGCATCATGACTCAGACCGGTGTGCGGAGGTTTTCACAATCTCATTCGTTTTAATTGTGCTCTTTTCTTTCAATCATGTCGCAGACATCGTGTCTTGACTGTTACATGTCTTGACGCATTCTGGTGTGCGGCCTACCTTAGGGCTCCGAAAATTCTTTGGAATTATACTTCCCGGATTCTACTTGGTATAATTGTCAGATGAGGATGTGATTGGATATTGTTTGAAAGCAAAGGAGGAATTTTATAAATTTAGACTGGTATAGATTTATTTGAAATAGTTTACGAGAGGATAGAGCGCCGTCAAAAAAAAACGCATTATCAAAAGCTTGGCTTGAACTGTTCATTTGCACGAACACTTTCCGTAGCGGAGCGATAGAGTGTCAGTTGTATTTATATTGACTGGGTGTACGGCACGCGACTTTGGTCTTTGTAAACTTTACCTTGATATCCGTATGCTTTCGAATCCTATTGCCTAAATTGAGTAATATGCTTTATAATATTTGTCCGTTTTTTAAATATTGAGGGTGAAGTGCATATTTCATCAATATTTCGGCCAACATTTTCTGTTAAAAGATTTATAAAGCCTAGATAAAGATTTATGAGAAAATAAACATGGCTATCCGCATTATATATAGGTCATATTTAACCGTTTCGCACGACGTTCTGCAGTCATAAGACGGGTTGTTATCGACGTTATTGAAGCTATAAAAACTATCCCCTCAATAGGCCGTGTAGGCCCATAGGGTTGTGAGACGTTGAGGCTGTCAAGTTTACTCTAGACAATCGGCTCATAGATGGCGGTGAAGTTGTCAACCTTACGGGCCGGCCACCCTTCACCCCCAGGAAGATTCCTGGTACTCATTTCTGTTAGAGGCTGAGTCGACCCCAGGGATAGAGCGAGACTGGAAGGATTATGTAAGTTGAAAAATCCAATGAAAATATTGGGAATCGAACCCGTGACCTTCCGGTTTTCAGCATAGTGCCTCAACCAATTATGCTACCACACGCCCTTTATTTAATCTGTACTATGGTAAATTTAACCAAAATTCAGAATTTAATCTAAAAATATTTCTCTGGAAATTTTTGGATATTTCTAGTTAAACAAATAATTTCAGTTCTTGCGTTCCCTTAATTTTGTTTCACTGTGCGTAGTAGAATTAGTCTAGATTAGAAACTCACAAACGCCCACCCACACAATTTCCAACAATGTACTAAGTCCCGATTAAATTTCACCCGTCTTAAATGAAGAGAGGCTGTTGTAATAAATGGTACTATCGTTTTATGATGTCCGAATGCAATTAGTGACAGCTACAAATAGGTTCCTTAATGCCGCTTCCAAAGGGATAAGAGCAACGAGATTAATTTAAGTGAATCAATGATCATTGCTAGTCCACCGGCTACGGTAGCAAGCCCATGTCTCCACTAGTTTCCTCCCTACTGTCCACACGGCTAGTCTACCTAATTTCATCACCAATCCCCACAGGATTTACATAGCACTTGTGACTGCTTCAGACGATCCAGCGCAGTTAGATTTCTGCAGTGAGCAGAATTGTGATCTGCAGAATAATTCCAGAACAGAATTCATGCAATTAGAGAACTGATGTAGCCAAATGATGTCCACTAAAAACTCCATGAGAGTGTTGGATCAGGCAAAGGTGTATTAGGATGCATATCTGTGGATCAGAGACAAATCTAATGATTTCTTAGAGCCAACAATTAGAAGTTGGTCTAGAAGTTAACGCAAAGAAAACTAAGTATATGTTCTTGTCTCGTCACCAAAATCATGACATACATATAACAAACACATATTTTGAAAATGTGGCACAGTTCTGATATTTGGGAACAACGATATCAGATCGAAACCTGATTCATGAAGAAATTAAGAAGAGATGGAACTCGGGTAATGCTTGCTACCATTTAGTCCAGGACTTTCTGTCTTCTCGTCTGCTGTCCAAAAACATAAAAATTAGAATATACAAAACCATAATTTTGCCTTTGTTCTGTATGGGTGTCAAACTTGGTCTCTGACATTAAGGGAGGAGCATAGACAGATGGTGTGTGACAACAGGGTATTGAGGAGAATATTTGGACCGAAGAGAGATGAAGTGACAGGAGGTTGGAGAAAACTGCATAATGAGGAGCTTCATAACTTGTACTCTTCTCCAAGTATAATTAGAATGATCAAGTCAAGAACGATGAGTTGGTAGTACATGTAGTACGATTGGGAGGAAGAGGAATGCATATACGAGTATCATACTGGCGGTAAAGCCGGAAGGAGAGAGACCACTGGGAAGACCAAGACGTAGGTGGGTGAAAAATATTCAAAAGGATCTTAGAGAGATAGGATGGGATGGTACGAATTGGACTGATTTAACAGATATCACTTAACTGTTTTATTTTCTTAAGTACATAGCAAAGGAATAAGTATTTAGTAGTAAAGATATTAGGCTCTAAGTATTATTTTACTGAGTACATCTAAAGCGAAAAGTAAAAACCGTGAGTCTGTCTGTCCGCATACCCAGAAGGCGTTGTAGAGACCAAATAATCGAGTGTATTTATGAATGTTCTGCATTTGTGTGCCTTTATTTACATGTATATGTGATAAACATAGCCCACGTCCTCTTGGAATGAAAGCATTGTGACAATGGCCATGGATAATTTATACACAAAGCTTTACCTTATAAACCACTTGATAAGGCCTATGATCACGAACTACCCCAAGTATTTAAGCCCACGCAAAATTTTACGTTCTAATGTGGAGTTACTCTCATGTTTTCATCTCTGAATTCTAATTTTCTTCGTAGTAAACATATATTTTTGTATCTTCGTGTCTGAACATATATCCTGTAGACTTTTCTTATATTGCTTTGATTTTTTATAACGACCTATGTACGAGTATATTTACTATGACCCTCATTACATGTCAAGCTGCACAGTGTATCAGCAGCTAGACGGTTAAGAACGTAAGTACGTGTATTAACATAATAAAAATATTAAATTAAAACACTATGAACATAAACCTGATTAGAACGTCAAATCGCATATGCTGTTGTGATCCTTACAAACTGTTCTCGGATGACTATGATTTACCTGAGCCGCTGACGTTGGCTTGACTTGTTACAGTTACGGACTCTGATAACACCCTGCCTCGTCAGCTGTCCCCAGACGTGCTGTCTGCACTACAGGGAGTGCGTTTCATAGCTCAGCACATCAAAGACGCCGACAAGGACAATGAGGTGAGCACAGTACCTTGATTGTTCGACACTGTGGCATTGTGCAGGAACAGGTGGGACCATGACTATGGGCCACAGCCAGATCACCAGTTTTAGCGAGCTATCCCTGTAACAGGCCGTGGAGGCCCATAGGGTTGTGAGACGTCGAGGCTTTCACATTTTCTAGACAATCGGCTCATAGATGGCGGTGAGATTATTAGCCTTACGCGCCGGTCGCCCTCCCCCCCCCAGGAAGATTCCTGGTACTCATTTCTGTTAGAGGCTGAGTCGACCCCAGGGCCATAGCGCGGCTGGAAAGATTAGGTCAACAGAAAATATATAGTGACCTCATCAGGAATCGACGCCACAACCTTTCGGCTTGTAGCATAGTGCCTCAACCAACTACACTACCGCATGCACCCAGTTTTACTGACAGCGGAAAAGTAACGCCAAATTTCAAACAAAATCGCTGTTTCTAAGCACGACGAATCACTGGAAATAAATTTACCTTCATGGCGATACTATGTGAAGACGCGTGATTATTTGCTTTCTGCATGCTTCAACAATTTCTAGACTTAACGACGTGGGGTAATTTGTTTCTGGAAATAAAATCCATTATTTTGCTAGCTGGCATCTCCAGTCTATTAGGCTACTGCAATTTTGAACTACCGTAATACTAACTGCAAAAGAAACTACGTATTTATAGAAAAAAAAAACAAACAAACTCCATAGTTTAGTCCGCAAGCGAACTACACGGACCGAGGGACTGCCGCTAGTCGGCCAAGTTAGTGCCAACTTTAGCGGATAGAGGGTGAAACGTAGTCAGCGCAACGAATTCCACGGCCGTTAATTTAGTTTATTTAGACCGGAGCCGCTATTTCCGTGAAATAGCTCTTCAATTATCATCACGAGGCTGAGTGGAACCCGTTCCAGACCCACTACGTCTCAGAAAATCTGGTAGCGCTGGGAATCGAACCCGGGACCTCTAGATCTGTAACCAGGAGCTCTGACCACTCGACCACAGAGGCGGTCTATGTATGTGTAGAATTACGTATAAATTTACACTATACGATTGCTAAACCCAATCGGATTGACATTGCTGAGGAAACAGACTAATTTCACTCAAGGCTGGCTACGGTTCATTTTCGAATGTCTAATTTTTTAAAAAAGTAAAGGTTGAAATACTTTATCTGTTGTTTTGTACGGATGTGAAGCTTATCCTCTCACCCTAAGGGAACTGCATAGCTGGTTTGCAAACACAGTGCCGAGCAGAATATTTGTGTTCAAGAGACATTATGTAGCAGCAATTCAGAATGCCACACGATGAATGCACAATTTGAACTCTCGATAAGCGTTTCAAAGGAAATGAAATACTTAAGATCACGTGAACACGATAATGAACCGTCGGGTACCGTTCAAGGCGGGAAATTTCTTAACTAGCAGAGCGGATATTAGCTTCTCAAAAACGACTCCGCTTCTTGCTTCTAAGGAAACAAGATATTTGAAAATGTTTCCTTAGAAAATGCTATGTTTAGAAACCACCCATAAGATCTCAGGAGAGATGTAGGTTTAGTATGAAATTCATCAGATAGGACTAGCTTGTGAGGGCATGAAGCGGGTTTGACTGGATGTGAGTGTTAATGTCGAATTTAAGTTTTAACTGTGTTTAACCTTTACGCTGCCATAAGGACAGGTCATTCTTGGGAGATATAGTTAATTATTACCAGCAGAAGAAAGACACTGTAAGATGGGCTGACATTTAGAGCATTAAAAGAATCACTTCTTGGCATCTGAGCTGGTGGCCGCTTTCATGTTTCCGCACAGAGTTCCTCTCGTTAGACACTCTTCGATTTGAATGATTATTGTGCTTATAACAGATCGCTTTGTATATGTTTATTTCCCTTGGCACTACAGCCCCAGTGGGCCTAGGCCTACCTCCATGAACTTCTCCGTTCATTTCGGTTTTTCTAGATCTTAAACATTCGGTAGGACTCCTTGGGCGGGTGATCAGCTCGTCGCAAGGTCTATACCTGTACACAAACACAGAAAAACTCACACACACAAACTAAACATCCATGCCCTGAGTGGGATTCGAACTCACGATCCTGGTTTCCAAACGATTGAAGACAATGCATGCCTTAGACCGCTTGGTTACCGTGGCCGGCTTGTATATGTTTACTTTCATATATTCTTCGTAAAATCACACAACATGCACGCATCTCCGAAATCACTGAACAGGTTTTGATAAAATTTGGTGTTTGCGTTCACGTTAATAGTTGCGGAGAGATTTCAGTTTCGGTATAGCGCTAGGTCTATGGATTGTAACCTTTACTTAAATAAAATAAAAAAAGTATGCAAATTTCTTTTAAAAATTTCATCGCAAGAAACACATATTGTAAACCAATTTTTTATTGAGATTTAAACCTTTAATTGCAACATTATTGAACCACGGCTCCAAAATTTTTTCTCGGTATATCCGACATACGTATTACATTTGTTGAGCCCATTTTTAATTATTCGTTATAATTACAAGACCACATTCAGCGAAAGATAATACAATGAAATCAATTTAAATTTAATTATGATTCTGACAGCTTGTATATTTATCTCTACATACTCCCAGGTTAATACGATAGCAGAATTATGCAACGCTGGGTGTATGGTTTTCAGGTTTCTATGCGCACTGTTAGTATATACGAATTGTTTTGCATTGGCCGTACTTGGAACGTTTCTGAGATAGATCTCACGTGACGAGGTCTACTGCTGACCTAAAGATATTCTCTAGTTCTCCTGCTCTTGACAGGAGCGATTCATGACGTGACGCAAGTGTCCGCCAGTAACCGCTGAATGGAGGTATTTCCGGGCATGATTATATGCGACTGGTTTGGAAAACATCACTGGTGACGATGGGTAATTGCAATTCAGTATAATACACTGAGTAATAATATATTTTGACGTAATATAGGCTAATAAGTTACTTAGCAAGTTTCCTAAGTCATGTCATTGCACTGTAATATTTTTATTATAATAATTTAAGTAACATCATAGTGTATAGGTTGTCTCAAATAGTTACGCTACTGATTTGTGCTCTGAAGGTTTCCGATTTGAACCTCGGTTAGAAGTGTTTTTTTTTTTGTCGTGAATTTTATCAGTGTCTTGGGGTAAATTTTGGGATAACAAGATATATTAAGCCACAATATCTTCCCTCTACAATACTTTTCAATTAATTATTGACTGTCATACACTAATTCACGCCATATTGTCGGTGTTACTGACAGTTGTTAACTAATAAACAAATAAAAGAGCAGATAAATAAATGTCACATAAATCCACGGTGCAGGGTGTACGTATCTTGGAGAGGCGATGAACACTTCTCTGGTCAGGAAATTCTCCGTCTTTTATGGAGCCCAAACTTGCGCCACTCTGTTCAACTATGACCGGCATTGAACCACGTCCTGAGTTAAATATATCGAGGTTCCTCCTTAATCCGCCATAATTCCATCCAGAAATAATTGAAATTACCTTAAGGGTGGTATATTAAGCGCTGGTCGGTCACGGTAGCCGAGCGGTCTAAGGCATCCACTGTCTTTGCGCGCCTGGAAGCCGGGATCGTGGGTTCGAACCCCACTCAGGGCATGGATATTCAGTGTTTGTGTGTGTGTAAGTACGCGGGAGCAAGTTTTTCTGTGTTTATATACAGGTAGAGGCCTTGCGACGAGCTGATCACTCGCCCAGGGAGACCTACCGGATGTCTAAAATCCAGTAAACCGAGGTAAAGCGGCCCAAATTGGGGCTGTAGCTCCAAAGGAAAAAAAAATATTAAGGGTTATGTCAGTGTTGGAGAAAATGTAGAAGGCACAGAGATGAAGACAAATACATGGGAGGGAGAGACATGTGGACCGAACTTAGGCATGTCTGTCATGAAGCAGCGATATTGTAATGTATTTTCGCTTAGTGGGGGGGTGGAGTCCAACTGGGTCCACTTGGCACGGCGGCCACTGATTGGCCTATTGTAGCTAGCCCCGGGTGATTATGATGATGGAGAATTTGGTGGAATGAAGATTGGCAGGGGAAACCGAAGTACTCGGAGTAAACCTGCCCCAGCGTCACTTTGTCCACCAAAAATCCCACTTGACCAGACTCGGGATCGAACCCGGGCCGCAGCGGTGGGAAGCCAGCGACTAACCACTTGAGCTATGGGGCGGCCTTATATTGTAACGTAAGTCGGGAGCGTCTGCCACATGCAGTCTGCCTCAGCATAGCCTTTCTGTTGCCGAGATGAACATCTTGTCTTGAGGGATAATTGGATTCACTCAGAATATCGTCAATATGTGGGAAAGCGAGACACGGAGAAATAATTCAAACTAGGGACGAGATGTATAGGCCTGTAACACGAATGCAAATAGAAATGGATCCACCAAAACGGCAGGTTGCTTGGAAGCACTGAATTTTTACGAATCTCTTTCAACAGATAGTGTTTAATGTTGTTAAACTTAGATAAAAGTAAACACAATTAATTCGATATACATGCGAAGCATTAGAACTTTAGGAATTCAAAATAATTTCCCTTCATATCTGGGTTTACACTTTGAAATACTCTACACTATAGATTTTACTTGTATCAAAAGAAAATTTGATAACGTTTAAATAAAATAAAATTATTGTTGACTCTATCCTGGAAGTACTAGATCAATTAAGGCAATAAGCAGTTCAGCGTCTGGAGAAAAAATAAGATAAACATCATGAAGTTAAATGTGTTCTCTTTAAGATGCATTGAATTATCTTAACAGCCACCCCTATACAAAGACCACCCCTTCCAAAATCACATTTGTGTGGCATGGATTGCATTTGAGGCAGTTTTCTTGTAATGCAAGCACTTACTCCGGGACCCCCCCCCAAACCCGACCAGTAACCATGCCTGTTTCTTTACTAAACCCCTCTACAAATTCCTCAGAACGGAATTTCCCAATCCCAGGGGATCAAGCTGTAAAACAAATTTAAATCCATAACCCAAATAGTATTAG